TTCGGGAAAGCATCTAATGTGTCCAATCTAGAAACACCATAAAGTCAGCCTGATCAGGAATACAGAATACAAATCTGCTAACCCATATCTACTGTAACAAAACATGTTGGAATAAAGTATTAGGTGATGAAGAGGCTGCAAGTGACAAGGTTACATTGGAAGCGTCGATGGACGGCTATGTCCAATCTTTGCACTCAGTACTTATTCAGGTTGTAAAATGTTGCACAAACCGTTGGTGCTATATAAATCCTGTATAATAATAACAATAATGGGTGTACATACAGAATGAGCGTATTCAGAGCACACTAAAAAAGAGCTGATTAATACTTTCTGAATAATGTCAAGATCAGTCAAATAGTTTGAGTTAGATATAAAGCAAAAATTGGGCACCCGTGGCCAGAATTTTTTTTAACAAAGAAGTGCAAGAAGCTATGAGGACAGACCAAGATTTGTGACTGCATGCCCTGTGTACATTACTCCTTGAATACATCTAATTCACTTCAACCTCTCTCCCAAGCACATGGACATCTCTTCCTAACCAAAATGTAGAAAGCAGTGCTAAAACGTATGGAAATTAAGGCTGTGGCTCTTAACAGTAAAGGTTAATAAAAATTGTACTGGTTGATAACGGTCTGTGTACCACTTTTATTAAAGGGTCCTTTATATTATGAACTGTAACAAGTCTACTGTAAAGTATTCAAGTGTGCCTTTAGTATAAGGATTTTCTGATCAGTTAAAAGTTTGCACACAGCTTCTGGCTTCTCTGTAGAAACACACTAGGGGAGATTGACAAAAACTAAAGAGTGCAATACCTAGTGCAGCTCTTTTTTTTTTTTTTTTTGTCAAAGCTTAAACTAGCCATAGACTGTTCGAATCTAGGTTGGTACAGCAGGGACTGGCTGAGACTCGAACCATGTATGGGCAGCCAGAATGCACCCAACTTGGGTACAAACAGCCTCCTGGATTTTACATATAGTATAATATCCTCCTAGATTGTAAGCTCTAATAAGCAGGGCCCTCTGTTTCCTCTTGTACCAAATAGTATTGTAACTGTAAAGTCTACCTTCATATTGTAAAGCGCTGCGCAAACTGTTGGCGCTATATAAATCCTGTATAATGATAATAATATAGCTGCTAGCAACAATCATTGTCTTCTCCCAGCGAGGACAGCTTACCCCGCTGGCACAACACAATGGCTCAGCAGGAGGGATTCCCCTGTCAATACTGACTGTGGTTGCAGGAAAGAAACTCACTCTGTCTATGACCTACCTTAATAAAACACTCTGAAGTTAGAAGCGGATTGGTTACCATTGCACAGCTGCACCAGATTTTGCAGTTTTAGTAAATCAACCCGTGTGTTTCCTAGTTCAAATGTACATACCGGTCCCAGTCCCAAATACACTTGTTCTGTATGTCCCTTATGTGTGACCATTCAGATGCAATGGCTCTCAAAGCATCACTACATATGAATGGCTTGGCTATTATACCTGACCAGCAGGTGGTGCTGTAGGAGACAAGTCTACTTTGTATTCAGTCCGTTGTCCAAGAGAGATTGACAGGCAAACACTTTAAAAGTAGACTCCTTGGATACACTCTTAATAAGATTTTCTTCATGTACTGAAGAAAAACTAGTACATTCAGCACAGGTTCTTGGATAAATATTTAACACTGTATTATAAAATGTACAAAAGTGCAAAAAGAAAAGCTGGAACGATGAAAGAATTGCAACCTCTTCATTCAGCCACTTCATAATAATTTGTCCAGTTATTTAAGGTAAAGTCTGAATTTCCCAGCAAATTCCTTTTACACAGATAGATTGGGTATAGGCTTTGATTTATAGATCCTGAAATCTTAAAGGAGCAGATTACCTCCTTTGTCATACTTTATATATTAGCACCGGGCACATAATACAAGTATATTTAAGCAATAAGCATTGACCGTGCAATTGCTTGAGCAACAAAGGGCCAGTCTCTTCCATCTGACAAAGTTAATATGTTGTGCATCCTTCTTAGACAGAAAAGGCTTCTTCATCCTCTGTTGCTATGCTGCCACCTGCTGGCACAATGTGAAATGAGGTACTGTTACGCCGTGCAATCTTTGGAGTATACCAATGTTTTATGGCACGTAAACGCTCTTCAGCTGTCATCACATCCAGCTGCTTAGCCCTCTGCTGTGGAGTGGGGAACAATGACCCTTGAAATATTCTGTAAACATACCTAAAATGAAATATAATACAGTAAAAGGTTAAAACAGACCTTTACCCAAGAAGTTTCTTCTCCCCTCTCCCTTTTATTCAACTTCAGATTTGTTTTCGGATTTTAGGAAAAGTATATCGCACTTTTTTCTTTTTTTAATAGAGCAACTTCCACATTCCTTGCCTAGACGAGGATGACAAAGGTCAGTCACCAACTGCCACCTCATTGTCCAAGTCACACATCCCAGGAGACAGGGGTTTCAGTGCAGAGACCCATATTACATGTATGTGCAGGAGCAAGATCTCACACATATGCAAACAAGCTGATGGGACCTATCAGAGACCTGTCACATGTTTATGCATGTGCAAGATTTCACACACGAGCAAACATGTTGAGTAAGTCTCTGCACTGAAACACTGCCTTCTGAGGTGTATGATGTGGGCATTCCAGCAGGCAGCGGGTTGGCTGACTCTGTGTCATCCTTGCCTAGGAGAGAAATCAGGAAGTGCCATGAATAATGAAAAAACAGTACTTGGGACCTGACAGACACATGTCTCTGCATGCGCAAGGACCTCCCCCTATCCCTGAAATCTCCCTTCCAAAGTACTAAATCCCACCACAATGTATTGTGTAACTCAACCAACTGTGCTCCAGTGGTCCAGTGCAACATTTTCTCTTTTCAGCGAGATGAAGGGATCCTCATGTGCAATAATAAATTCTTCAGAATGTTGCCCCCTTGGAGAACATAAAGTAGCCAGATTCAAGCCCAAGTATTGTGCCAGGCAAAACAAGTGCAACTGGACCATTTAATACTGTAACGAAGCCCAGAAAGATTCGATTTTTGTGAAATAATAAAAGGAAAATAAAACCCTCTAAAAGAACATTTGTCGAGGGAAAATCAAATCAATAAGCAATGCATAAATAAATTAGCTGATCTGCATTAATTGATTAGGAAGATCCTGTGCCTACCCAGAGGGTCTAGAGGTAGGTATTTTGCTCAGCAGAAAATCTGTCAGGGTTGATCAGTGTATTCTGATGGCAGGGAAGTCTCCCCACTTTCAGAATACAAAGGCTCAGCAGGAGAATTCCCTCATCCACCTCGAGGGTGTGGATGGGGAAATCAAGTAATTTTATTCATTCAACTCGCTGGTTGAATGAAAAATAAATAAATAAATAAAATACAATACATGACTCATCTTAGTCCTCCATTAATCCCTGCTGTACCAGATTGCGGTCTGTCCCTCAATGTGCCTGGATTGTTGCCCTGTGCCTTTGGACTTATCCTATGCCTATGGCCTATGGCCTCTCCTGTTAGATAGCTTTTTGTCCCCCATGGTGTCTGGATTATTGCCCTTTGGTCTTCCTCTTACCCGACTACCTGTTTGTTCAGCACCCCAAATAATGAACCTTGTGGCCAGGGGCCAAGACCACTCTTACATGTTCTATCCTGCCAACACCCCCGTCCCAAGCATCAATCTAGTAAGAGCTCATAGTAAGCTAGCATTAAAGGAGAAGTCAAAGCTCTTGTTGCCATACTTCTGTGCAGGTCACAGGAGAACTCTTAGTTATGTACTGTATTCAGCCAACAGAGAGCTAAAGTCCGCTGTCAGCTGACGCCACTCAGCCAGTCCAGGCACTAGAGAGATCCCAATTTTAAATGTCGGGATCCACCCAAATGTGCCAGCTGCCCCCACCCCATCCACTGTCTGGCGTGCTCCAGTGAGAGCTGGAGGGGCAGAGCAGAGAGCAGTGACTGACGGTGCCAGGCTCTTGGCTCACTGGAAACCAAGAACTGAGTGATTAGCAGTCTTTGATCACTTGGTTCTCAGTCTTTCAGGTGGCAGGGGACAGCAGCAGCATCGGACCACTACTGCATCCACCTAGGCAACTATGTAGGTTTGTTTTTTTTAAACCCCTTACTTTTCTTTTAAAGCAGCGGTTCTCAACCTGTGGGTCGCGACCCCTTTCACAGGGGTCGCCTAAGACCATCGGAAAACACATATTTCCGATGGTCTTAGGAACCGAGACACCGCTCCTCTATCCGTCTCCAGGCGGGTCCGCCCACATGCAGATACGCCCACATACGAGTACCCGGTGTGATGACATCATCGCGCCAACCCCATCACATACACCCCGTACAAATACAGGTGTATGTGACAGGGTTGGCGCCATAATTTACTTATGTGGACCATTCACACATGTGTAAAGAGCAGCTACTGTGTAGAAAGTAGCTGCTGTGTTGAAAGCAGCTACTGTGTTGAAAGCAGCAGTATTGGAGGTAAAACGACGCTTCATGAATTATAATTATAATTGTTTTTGTGATTAATCACTATGCTTTAATTATGTTTAATTTGTAACAATGAAAATACATCCTGCATATCAGATATTTAATTTTGCTACTATTATGAATCGTAATGTACAGTTATGAAGTAGCAACGAAAATAATTTTATGGTTGGGGGTCACCACAACATGAGAAACTGAATTAAAGGGTCGCGGAATTAGGAAGGTTGAGAACCGCAGTTTTAAAGCATATCATACCAAGAATTAAATAAATACCATTTCACCAGTTTTTACTGTCATCAGTTATTTGCTTCTATTTTCTATTCTACACTAGAAGTCTGAATGGTTATTACTGAAATTACAGCAGTTTTCCTGTTCTCTAGATTTTTTAAAATGAGTCAATATACCACTGTTGCATTGTACATGGGAAAACGAATTTACTTAGAAGCAGGTGTCTCTTTATGCTGAACATTTCATGAGCCAACCTATGAATGGCAGGTGATGACCAAGAAGCAGCATATTACTTATACATACCTTGGTAAAAGTGCAACTACTACAGACATGATACACACAAGATAGAACACTGGGTCAGCCATATGAGTGTGCATGATCCAGTATACATTGGCAGGTGGGATACAATTCACACAAGCTGCCGAAAGAGCCAAGGCGAAGACAAAGTAGGTGAGAACACTGAGAATCATCACTGTCCAGTGAATCCATGTCTGAAATAAGTAGAATGAAAAGATGTTTTATTGAGAAATACATAATTTTACAGATATCTAGAAAGCAAATCATCAATGTTTACAAGCTACAGCTTTACAAACTAGAGCAAAAAGCAACCAGTATGACAAGTGCATTTATTTGCTGGCAAGCACTGGAAACAGAGCTGCTTAAGTCTAATTGGCTGCTGTGGACAGCAGAGCCTTCATTTAAAAGGGTTAATTCGTCTTAAAAAAAAAAAAAAAAAATACCCTATGCAGTCCATGAACACTATTTCACACTAAACAAATTCTATTTTAGAAACAAGCTTTTATTCTCTTCCCACAGGCCATTTGTGGACGGAGTGAAGCCTGCCCCTAACTCTTCTCTAGGACAGACCAGCCATAAGGAAGAGTGCCCCCTACTTGTACAAGAGTGAGCTCTGTCCTTCTGAGCCGAAAAAATGTGCAGCGCCATCTCCTGACACTACAGATGACCTCAGCAGCTGCAACGCTCTCTCTCCTATTGCAGCCGCTGAGCAAACACGCTCAATGGAGAGCATTATGTCCATGTGCGGGTCTTGGAAGAACAGAAATCTCTCCTGTGCTGCTAGGGGGCATTTATCCTAATGGCTGCACCTTCCTAGTGAAGAGGACAGGACAGAGCATTTTTGGCCATGGCCATCCTAAGTAAGGACAGAAAATTCACGTAGCATTTACTTCCTGGAATCCATCTGTCCTTAGCTCAGGCATGAAGGCAGGAGGATGTGCTTAGATGAAAAAGCCCCTCCTTCCCTCCTGAAGACTCTTCGGATGTATGACATCATTTGCCTAGGCCTGGAAACCAGGAAGTAATTGAAAAAATGTAAAAAATAAATACAAGTTTAAAACAAGTAAATATGATGTAGTTCCCTATCTATTTACTAATGCTAGCAGCATAAGGATTAATAATCGTTAATGTTGGCTGAGTAACGTTCCACTGTAAATAACGCTTAAAGGGGCATAAAGTTCAGCTTGCTTTATCTTATATGGGATGTTTTACTAAAGGAAAATCTGCTTTTTCCCTTTGCAGGAGAATTTTCACTTTAAGTTCTGGTTCACACTACTGCAGCTGAGCAAGCCACATTTTGCGTGGTCACAGCAGCCCGTTCATTTAAATGGGCTGTTGTGCTCCTGAAAATGCAGAGAAAAGGTCCCTGCGTCATTTTTTAAGTTACAACCCGCATGGAAACCGCGAATACAGCGCAAGAAGTGACTGCAGCGAATTCTAGTGCGTGTGGGTGCCATAAGGATTAATGGCACCCGCATGCATCTCTGTGTGTGTGGTTGTGAGTGGGAACAGGTGTGGACCCTCATCGGGAGCCACCTGCACACGTGTGAACCAAGCCTAAAAGGGAATCTTCCCATAGCTGAGTGATGAGGTGAAGCTCTGCTCACTTCCATTATCCAATCATGTGCAAGCAAAAATGTACTTTTTTTTTTCTCTTGCGTGTGATTTGGTAAATTAATTTCCACCACATTCACAAAACTAAGGGAAACATCCTTTGCAAAGTGAACAGCATATTTGCCTTTAGTAAATGAACCCTAACATCTCTTGCCTGAAGCAGCTTTAAATTGCTAGATTGCCAGTCCATCGGTAGCGGCTGAGTTTCAGTGGCATTTCAGGCAGTGCCAGGGTGATAGAGATGATAAAAGTTGAAATTGCAGTGCCTCTGCCGCTGACGAAGTGTTGCCAGCAACAGAATTTCCCATCTGACAAGTCCCTGAAGACAACACAACCAGACAGGGTGGCACAACTTCATAACAGGGTAGTTAACCACGGTGGGCATTGCAGCATGTCTGGAAGCATAGTATAGTTGTGGCTTTATCCTCTACATGAAAAACTTTGTAAATAAATTCTTATATGGACCTGTGCATGCAATGTACCTACAAGTGCACAGTTTGAGTTATTAGACCTGTTTACCTTATAAACCCTTTTATCTTTTTTTTTTCATGAATCTAAAGCTAGCTATACACAGACAGCTGTAAACTTCAATAGAAAAATCAAAGGAGCTGGGTAGGAAAACTGTCAGCAGAACAGCGACTACAATCAGTCGGATGTTGTCATAGTTTGGGTATTTAGGGAGCCAAGGAGTGCTGTCTGTCAACAGTACAATAGCTAGCAGGGGAGATTCTTCCATCCAGGATGTTTAGCATGGATGATGAAATCTGTTAGACTTTTCTGCCTGCAGCAACAGCAAAAAAAAAAAAAAAAAAATACTAGATTACTTTACACAACTAAAAAAGTGCACTGAGAATGCCCTTTAACCACTTGAGCCTCGTGCCATTTCTGACACTTCTCCCATACATATAAAAATCTGCATACATATAAAAATCTGCATTTTTTTTTTAAAGAAAATTCTTAAGAACCCTGAAACATTATACATTTTTTGAGCAGAGGCCCTAAGGAATAAAATGGCGGGTGATTTTTTTTATGTCTCAGAATATTTGCGCAGTGGTTTTTCAAAAGCAGTTCAATGAATTTTAGTGCACACAAACACAATATAATATCATTTTTTTTTTTAAAATATAAAAGATGATGTTCCGCCAAATAACTAGACGCCAAACATGTCAAGCTTTGAAATTGTGCACATCTGTGGAATGGTGACACTAAATTATCCACAGAGACGCACACAGCTTGCCGACACAAGACAAGGTGAAAGAGACTCTGCAAAGAAGCTCCACCATTCCTCCATACTCTACCGGAGCTCCTTTGCTTCTCCGTTCTCTTCCCCTGCCAGAAATTACTGGTGTTGGTGATCAAAGGGAGGGGTGACATCACTCCCCAGGACATGTTACAGTACTCACAGGGGGAGGAGGTTACATGCTTCTCCATACGTGGAAATAACATATTTTGGACAGCTTCAGAGAAGGAAGGAGAGGCGAGAAATCCCTTGTAAATGTGTGTCAGGGTCAGTATGTGCATTCTGCAGAGCATGGACATAGTAGTAGTGTCTTTTTAAGCACATGTATAAGAGAAATGCAAGGACTGCCCTTTCTGGTCTTCTAAACACTCCAGCATGTACTCACAAGAAAATAAACTAAAACTGATTATTTTTACCAAGGAAACCAATCAGGGAAAAAAAAATGGCAAAACTGTCACACTTTCATTTTGCAATTAGAGCTCATTTTGCATTGGGAGTTATTTGTCCAAAAAGACAAAAAACACTCAAAAAAATATAAAATATATAAAAGATAACCTCAAGAAATCAATAGCAAAATAAGAATGTTTTCACCCTGGTTTAAAGTAAAAAATCTAGCAAAAAATAGACTTTTAATGAAATTTCATTTTAGGGAAAGCATGAAATAGAAATGTTAAAACATTACAGATGACCTAATGGCTCTAGAACAAGACTTGATATTCTTCCATGAAATGTCTTGCCCAGCCTTCCAGCAGCAGTCTGTGTTGTGTATTGACTCACCAGGCTTTTGCTTTCAATTAGAAGGTGTAGCAAAACCACAAACAGAGTTGCTGTTATGATGAAGCTCCCAAAAGCATAGATATCCATATCAGAGCCAAAATAAGTCTGTAAAAGTAAAGAAGAATGTTATGAGTTATTAACGGTTTTCAGTCAATGTTATGGAGAAGTTTTTGTAGCATGACAGGGTTATAAAGCAATTGTCTTATATTCTTAATGGTTTGTATAAAACCGGGCTTTTCTATCTCACATGTGTGGGGATGAATGATCAACTAGATTTTATATGCTGCTTCATCAAATATTAACCAGATGAAGTGTCACACAATGCCATGCATTTATGTACATTTCTTTCATTTCAAATTTGTTACCAATATGCCACAGCACATGTTCACTGCAATGCCTGTATTATGGGTACACAGCCTTCTACTGTAAAGTGAGTTGTGCGGTGCAGTTAAGATGTTACTAAACCCACAACAGTAAAATCAGTCAGAATATGCAGTAAATCATGCTTGATATACTCACTGTGGAACCTAAGGGGTTAATCCTCTGCAATGCGTAAAAATGCAATTATTCATGTGGACTGTTCCTTCCTAAAGACTATTATTTATCAAATTGGAGCTGGATAAAGTTTCACTTTAACCACTTGCCTATCGGGCACTTTTACCCCCTCCCTGCCCAGGCCAATTTTCAGCTTTCAGCGCTATTGCACTTTGAATAACAATTGCGCAGTCACGCAACACTGTACCTATATGACATTTTTATATCTTTTTTTTTTTTTTTTTTTCACACAAATAGAGCTTTCTTTTGGTGGTATTTAATCGTCACCGGGTTTCTCAATTTTTTGCACTATAAACAAAAAAAAGAGCAAAAATATTCTGTGTTTCTATTATAAAATTTTGCAAACAGGTACATTTTCTCCTTCACTGATGTGTATTGATGAGGCTGTACTGATAGGCAGCACTGAGGAGGCGGGCACTGCTGGGAATTAATGAGGAGGCACTGATGATGCTGCACTGATGGGCACAGATAGGCGGCAATAATGGGCACAGATAGGCGGCAATAATGGGCACAGATAGGCGGCACAGATAGGCGGCAAATGGGCACAGATAGGCGGCAATAATGGGCACAGATAGGCGGCAATAATGGGCACAGATAGGCGGCAATAATGGGCACAGATAGGCGGCAATAATGGCGCCACTGGTGGGCACTTTTGGGGCAGCACTGATGGGCTCCACTGCTGGGCACTTTTGGGGGCGGCACTGAATCATGGCACGGATAATCAGTGCCCTGATTATCAGAGCAGATGTCCTCTGTGACACTTGCTGGCTATCGACAGTACTTTTCTCACACTGTGACAGCGTGAGGAAAGTGCTGCTGATAATCAGCAACTGTATTTACTTTGTGATCAGGCCATTTACCATGTAATGTGATCAGCTGTGTCTGTAGGACACAGTGATCACAGACAGCACCGGGTGCACGCTGCTGGGGGTGCTTTCTTGGAGGACGTCATATGGCTATAGCCTGGTTGCCAAGTAGTTAAACATATGCTATATAGAATGCGATAAACTCACCTAATATCTACAGTAATTCTAAAACATCACTGTCCTCCAACAAGTTTTTTTCGACTGCTTATGTACAAGCAAAGTTTAAAGTATAACTAAAGGCAAAGCCTTTTTTTTTTTTTTTTTTTTGTTTTAGACGGAGTGGAGAGGGATTAGAACCCCAGTCAAGTTTTTATTGCTCTGTGCCCTGTTAGGGAGATTTACCGTCTTTATTTGTCCCATTTACCATTATCAATAAAAGTAAGTAAAAGAAAATCCCAAATTATAGGTAGTCCCCAGAACAGGAATAGTGGGGATATTTTCCAATGGGGTCACTATTTCTGGTGACAACCAGTGATTCCTTTAGTTTGGATGGATTTATACTCACTTCCTGTTTGGCTATGAAACTGGAAGCAAAGGAAAATCTCCCCAATGGGACATGGATTGCAAAAATAAACCTTACAGGGGTTATAACTCTCTCTCTTGCTCTAAGCTGACAAAAAAAAGTTTGCCTTTAGTTCCACTTTAAGGAAGTTCTTATGCATGTAGGAATTGCATGCGACTTACAGGCAGAGGCAGAGGCAACAGGCAGACCTCATCAGTACAATATTCCAGAGAGGCAGTTCTATGGTGTGTTCATTAAGAACACCACAACAGCAGAGCAAAATCAGAGCTACTGTCCATACAAAACCATCTTGGTATCATCTCTGAAATGAAATCTCATTGCTCTATTTATACATCACTCTTCATAAATCAGCCTTCTAAGCTACAAGTAATATAAATAGGTGTGTATGATGGAAAACAAATTAAAAAGTTGACCTCTACAAAGGAATAATCTGTAACCTACTCACAAAGTAAGGAATAAAGAAACACGACAAGCTTTGGTAGAAAGCATCCACTATGGTGACCCAGAATGTTGATGACTGGTAAGCCTACAAGAGAAAAAAAAAAAAAAAAAAAGACAGGAGCAATATTATGATGGTAAACAGGTTTACAATGTTTTTTCCCTCCTAACTGTCCCACCCCATAATCAATGTACATAACCGGACACAACCAAAGATACTCTTCCTTCTCATTTCAACAGCTATATGCTCACACCATCAGCCTGCTTTGAAACTGAATCCAGTGTGATGTGAATTTCAATTTCAAATCCAGCTACATGAAGTTTTGGAGTGCCTAGAGTTATTTTGTTTTAAAAGTGGTGTGTCCCATTGAAAATTACGCTCACTACTTGTTCTTACACACAACCTTGGCACACCTGGGGACACATAATAAATGCTTTTGTTTGATAGGATACATGCTCAGGAGAATCTTCCAAGTGAATGAATTTTATAAATGCAGTGAAAGACTGGTGAAGTAAAAGTTCAATGAATAACACATTCAACAATTATAAATATTTCCTTAAATCAACTAAAATATGAAAAGAAATCAAATCCTTTTTGTCACCAAATCTTTAAAACTTTATGGGCTATGACAATAATATGAGAAGCCATTGTAAGGTCCCAGCTGCTCTCACCTCTGAGGTTTGTCCTGACTTGTAGAGCTCTGGAAGCACAATAAGGGTTTCTGCTGACAAATCTTTATCGAGAATACCGTAAATTATTGGCGGCACAGATGTGAAGACCAGGTTAAACAAAATTAGCATCCAAAAATCTGTCATAGCTGTTCCTGAGAAACCACAGAAGAATTGGTACCAGAAAAGAAGATTCACAAACATCTAGAGGGAGAAAACCACAATGTAAATGTACCTGATTTCTCTTCCAACAACATAGAAAAATATTAGACATCATAGTCTTCTGAACGACCAGATGCATAGCTTGGGGGCTGTGCACAAAAAGATGTGCGTGAGACTCCATATACATGCATGTCACAAAAATATTAACACCCCCACCACCAACCATAACAACAACCAACCCCCACCACTCTAATGTTAACCTAATTCTATATTTAATAGTTCTTCTGGGGTTGCTAAAAAGTAATAGATGGGCACACACACACACACACACACACACACACACACACACACACGAAAATTTGGCTCTCTCCATGTCTAAACATTTGATGATGTGATCAGTCAACATAAACTCTGATTATCCCTGTCAGAAAAGATCACATGACTAAATGCCTAGCACTGCTGTGACCAATCACAACAGATCACATGTCAATTGTATACAAATGGATGCCATTCATTGTATACAATTGTGTTATTAGATGTGATTGGTCAAAGCAGGTCACATGGTACAGACAGGGCCAACCACAGCCCATCTGTATCATGTGATGAGCTTTGCCCAATCACAGCTAACCGCAACAAAAGACTGAAGGAATCAGTTTCATTCAGTAACAATGATTGCAAATATCAATGAAATACATTGGTATTAGCAAGCATAATGTGTAAAAAAAAATGATAAATTCTGATCACTTGCCCAAAGTAGTTCAATGTTATTATGGTAACATTGTATTGCTTTGGTCACAGTGTGCTGAAAAATAAAATAGTAAAAAAAAAAAAAAATGTAATAAAAAAAAATAGAAACATTTGAAAAAAAAAATAAAAATAAAATTCAATTAGGATTATTTTCACCAAAGAAATGCATCAGAATACATTTTGACCTAAATTTATGAAGAAATGTTATTTATTTGCAAAATTTTATAACAGAAATGAAGAAAAGTGCGTTTTGTTTCAAATGTTTCAGGTGCTTTTTGTTTTATTTAGCAAAACATAAAAAAACTCAGTGGTGATTAAATACCACCAAAAGAAAACTATGTCTGTGAAAAAAATGATATAAAATCCATATGGGTACAGTGTTGCATGACCGCGCAATTGTCATTCAAAGTGCGACAGCGCTGAAAGCTGAAAATTGCCCTGGGCAGGAAGGGGGTATAAGTGCCCGGTATTGAAGTGGCTAGACAAATGATGTCATGCATCCCAGCAGTCTTCAGAAGGGATGGGAGTGTTTTCAGCTCAGCTGAGTTAAAGGCAGATGGATTCCAGGAAGTAAATGCTACATAAATCATCTGCCCTTACTCAGTATGGTCATGGCCAGAAATGCCAGGCGGTGCTTTTCAAAATGATTTCTCAGCAAAATAAAGCATTGAGACATGGATGGATGAGGTAGTTTTCTTTCAATATTAACAAAGAATTAAATAGCATTTTCGTTTTATGATGCTCAGATGCAGTGCAGTTCCACTTTCATATAGCTTTATAATAACACTGGAATACAGGACCCTATATAATTCACTAAACAGTAAATATTACCTACGTTACAAACACTACTTCATAACAATATAAAAACTTTCCATTCTGATATGTTACAGTTGAACTGTCAGACTCTGGGGGATTAGTAATAACTATAGTAAAACAACCAGGTAAAAAAGAAAGCATACTTTTAGTATGAAATGCAAATGTATCCCCGTGCTGCTTTAATCTCTCAAAAATAATTCATTACAAACCTTGGAAAAGCTGCTCTCATCCGTTTTATTACCAACTCAAAAAAAACCACAAACCTATATAAATATATAAAGTGTAGCGCTTCTCCCTTCCAAAATTACTGTGCAAACAAAAAAAAATATATTTTTAAAAATTTTCTTGAATTCAATTGTCACCCAAGAGAAGTATGATCTTCATGAAGTTCTGCCCAAGCCTAAATCTGGTCAGCTTCTCTTTGAGCTGCGAGACTTCTGGTTTATCTTTGATAATTGAAATATGCCACTACTGTGACATTGTCCAACTGAACACAGGATGGATGGCCTTGCAGTCAGGAGGTCCAGGGACAAATAAAATTGCTTTGAGCACAAAGACATTGATTCTGATGCAAGATTTCTCTGGCAACCAAGTCCCCTGTACCAGAAGAGTATCTAGGACTTCTCCCCATTCCTAGTTTGTAAGCTCGAAAGAGCAGGGCCCTCGATCCCCTCATGTTTTGCATTGTATTGGTATTGTTCTGTCACATGTTCTCTGTAATGTACAGCGCTGAGCGAACTATTGTCGCTTTATAAATACTGTATAATAATAATAATCCCAACAGGCTGGCATCCATCAGGAAAACCTTTCAGTCCAGTGGGGGGAAGGACATCCTGACTCCAGTGCTGGACTTGTGACCCCCCAGGCCAGTTGTTAATAGGAAAGCATAGGAACTGATAGGAACACCAGGATTTCATACAAAGAAAGCAATACAAAGAGAACAGGATACATTTTCATACAAGTACATTGTACAGCAGGCACATAGCAAGAATATGAAAAGTTGGGTTTACAAATTCTTTAAACATACAAAAGGTGTTTTAAACAAAAGTGCTAGAATTCATACAACCCTAAAAAAAAAAAAAAAAAAAATATATTTTTTAGTTTATTTTCTACTTACAACATTTTTGTAGAAAAAGTATAGAATCATATTGGCAAGGCGAACGTAGCACCAGTGACCATGAACAAGCAGTAACTTCCTCAGGTGCTTGAAGTGAGAAACTGCAAAGTCACTTGACATCACTGCCTGCAATACACAAATAGAAATACCAATACATAAAGAAAGTGATATCCTGCTACACTGCATGGTGTAAGTAAGTGACTGCACAGTCACTACCTTTTCATTAATATAATATACAGTGCATCCAGAAAGTATTCACAGCTTTTGCCACATTTTATTATGTTACAGCCTTTTTCCAAAATGGATTAAATTCATTTTTTTCCCTCAACATTCTACAAACAATACCCCATAATGACAACGTGACAGAAGTTAGTTTTGAAATCTGCAGTACCTCTCAAGCTCCATGAGGTTGGATGGGGAGCATCAGTGCACAGCCATGCTCAGACCTCTCCAGAGATGTTCAATCGGGTTCATGTCTGGGCTCTGACTGGGCCACTCCAGGACATTCACAGAGTTGGCCCATAGCCACTCCTTTGTTATGTAGGCTGTGTGCTTAGGGTTGTTGTCCTGTTGAAAAATGAAACATCGCCCCAGTCTAAGGTCCAGATTGCTCTGGAACAGGTTTTCATCAAGGATGTCTCTGTACATTTCTGCATTCATCTTTCCTTTGATTCTGACTAGTCTCCCAGTTCCTGCCACTGAAAATCATCCCCACAGCATGATGCTGCCACCACCGTGCTTCACTGTAGGGATGATATTGGCCAGGTGGTGAGCGGTGCCTGGTTTCCTCCAGACATGACGCTTGGCATTCAGGCCAAAGAGTTCAATACTTGTTTCATCAGACCAGAGAATTTAGTTTCTCATGGTCTGAGTCCCTCACGTGCCTTTTGGCAAACTCCAGGCGGACTGCCTTTGGCCTTTTACTGAGGAGTGGCTTCTGTCTGGCCACTCTACCATAGAGGCCTGATTGCTGGAATGCTGCAGAGATGGTTGTTCTTCTGTGAAGGTTCTCCTCTCTCCACAGAAAAATGCTGGAGCTCTTTCAGAGTGACCATCGGGTGCTTGGTTACCTCCCTGGCTAAGGCCCTGCTCCCTCGATCGCTCATTTTGCCGGGCGGCCCGCTCTCTCGATCGCTCATTTTGGCCGGGCGGCCCGCTCTAGGAAGATTCCTGGTGGTTCCAACCTTCTTCCATTTACAGATGATGGAGGCCACTGTGCTCATTGGGACCTGCAATGCTGCAGAAATTTTTCTGTACCCTTCCTCAGATCTGTGCCTTGATACAATTCTGTTTCGGAGATCTACGGGCAATTCCTTGGACTTCATGGCTTGGTTTGTGCTCTGACATGCACTGTTAACTGTGGGACCTTATATAGACAGGTTTATGCCTTTCCTAATCATGCCCAATCAACTGAATTTCCCACAGGTGGACTCCAATCAAGTTGTGGAAACATGTCAAGGATGATCAGTGGGAACAGGATGCACCAGAGCTCATTTTTGAGTGTCATGGCAAAGGCGGTGAATACTTATGTACATGTTTTTTTTTTTTTTTGTTTTTTTTTTTAACACATTGCAAAGATTTCAAAACTAACTTATTTCACGTTGTCATTATGGGGGTATTGTTTGTATAATGTTGGGAAAAAAATGAATTTAATCCATTTTGGAATAAGGCTGTAACATAACAAAATGTGGCTACAGTTAAGCGCTGTGAATACTTTCTGGATGCACTGTATATATGACCAATTGTTGTGTTTTATTCATTTCTAAACCTATAGGTCAATCTAAATTACAAATTAACCACACTACAGCTAAATTTAACCTGAATGATTACATGAATAAAACACGTGCTTGTTATACAACTAGATATAATTAGTACATAAAGCACACATATGCATGGACCTGCTAATTACGTATGCAGAATAAAAACGTTATGCAATTTTCATCTTGATTGCCACAGCTTATACTGTCAAATTAAATCACACATTAGAATAAAGGTGTTGAGATCAACATAAGCATGTGATTGTGCACATGTGGGTCTATCTGCTATAACTGATATCAAAATGCGTATCATCTCCAAGATGAAACAGATATAAACAGTTTCTACATTGATGTGCAACCCTGGAGTGACTCTTTCATAAACATGAAAGTGCCAGAAAGCATCAATGGTCATAGGCCAAGGACGCAATAGGGGTGCCATAGAGAAAGAAAAATATGAAAAACTGATATTGCAAAGTTGTTCTCAAAATGCTTGCTGCCTCATGTTATGTTATTCCAATGGCTTCAGTACTTTCTGAGTAACAGACCCAGACATGTATGCAGATCAGAAGTTAAAGTAGTATTAAACCTTCAGCATTCCCCTGCAAACTATTTATTCAAGTTCTTAGTCCCAACACTTGCACTTTACAACTTCAAAAGCGGATTGCTCCTGCTCTCTCAGTGCCGCTTCCCTGAACTTCTGGTCTCCACAGGAAGATGGTATCCAGTCTTTCCGTTAGCTTGGAGAAGGGTGTGGGAGGAGCAGGGAAGTGCCTTGCCATCCTAGGCTATGGGGCTGTGTGTTTCTATTTATGCATACAGTGTAAAGAGAGGCAATCCTAGTCCCTGCATTAAAGAGTGGCTCCATAGGATGCTTCCAGAGAAAGGAGCCACCCTGAAACAGTAAATCTATCATGGCACCAGCTTAAACTGTAACATAGGCAAGGAAGCAACATACTCCATATGTGATTAAATCAGCTACTAAAAGTGCTTAATATCACTTTAATACTTCTTGCTAACCTTCTAATTTTAATCTGTATGCTTGTTCCTGGTAATTGACTAAGAAGGTATTGAGGTCAGGGATAGCCAAGCAAAAACTTAAAGCTATAGCAGTAACTGTATTTCTTTCAGCACATTTCTCCTTTTTTTTTCTACTGCTTCAGTACAATTTGGGTAAATGTTCAGTTTGCACTCTGCATTGCATTTTCATATGCAGCTATGTTGATCCTCTACAGCTCATGAACATGGGAATCTACATGGGTGTCAACAGCATTCACACAGGAGTAATCATAAAAATGCTGTATACTGACAGTAGAGTGTTTGGCATCCCTAGAAAGACACCCTTCCTGGGGACACATAAAATAAGCAGATTGCCATGGTCTATGTTACCTGGGGTTCTAATTTTAATAAATCATACAAGTCAATAGTCTGATTTTAGTTGGTTAGAGTTAAAACGGTACCTGCATGCCTTCCTGGCCAGAAATGCCAATCCCAACGTCAGCTACCTGAATCATGCTCACATCATTGGCACCATCACCTTCAAACACAAATTAAATTAGGGTAAAAGAAATAAAAAAAAAAAAATTAAATTTAAGCACAAACCAATATACTTATACTAACCTATGGCTAGAGTCATGACCTGCAAATTATTCCGGACCAGTTTAACCACTTGGCTTTTTTGCAGTGGAGTTGCCCTACAGCAGATGACAGCTCTGCATCGCTGGGTGAGGTAGAGGAACCTTTTTTGTAGGGCTTCCTGCAGTGCAAACTCCAGGCTCTTTCCATCTATGATTAAGGCAAAGTGCTGCTCTTTCTTCAAAGGGTCACTTGAGTTAACATGGCTTTCAATCTCAGCAATCATGTGATTCATTAACACTTCACAAGTTCCCTGCAGTAGAAAAGAGGGTGGAAGTGAGCGTATAACCATATACAGCACAGTAAAGAACTCATATTTAATTTCTAGCGCAGATATGGAAATGTAAATTTGTTGCTGAACTGTCATTCGGATACCGTGCATCTAGGCTCTGTTCACACCTATGCAGCTGCAAATGAGCTCAAGTGTTGGACTTATTCACATCATACCAAAATGAATGATACTTTGTTACCATTTGGTTTGGTGTGGGGTGCCATTAAGAATAGCACCCCACGCATGCGTTAGCAAAGTGCGTGGGGTGCCATTAGGAATTAATGGCACTGTGTCTATTTGCAAAGGGGCTTAAAGCAGAAATAAAGTCCCACTTATAAAAATGGAGTAGGCAGGCCCTTTAGCGCAGAAAGACTCAACATACAAGGTCTCTTCTGCAACAAAAGAAACCTACTTGCCTGCTTGCAGTCTGCTTTGAAATGTACACTGAGTTGTACAAGTGTGCCAGGGTGACTGCACTTCTGTGAATGTGCAAGAGTGAAGTCATCCCACGCTGGCCAATGAAGACGGCCACACTGACACCCAGAAGAAATTTTGTGGAGGATGAAAACACCAGGTGAGAGAAGTCAGATCATTGAAGGAAAGGTAAGCAGAGTTTCTCTGCTTTAAGGGCCATTTTTGTTTTTGATACAAATTGTCAGCTGTTTGCAGGGGCGGACTGACAACTCATGGGGCCCCCGGGCAATAGGGGATTATGGGGCCCCTGTGTCCTTGCCCAAACTCAAAAAAGCCTATGAAAAAGGTACCAGGGGCATCTCATGGGGCCCCCCAACTGGCCCGGGGCCCTCGGGCAGTGCCCGAGTTTCCAAATGGTCAGTCTGCCCCAGGCTGTTCGCTATTTAGATTACCAATCTTTGTACTTTTCCACTAGTTTTACACTACCTGAACGTTCCATGGCAAACATTTATAAAATGGAAAACCACACAATACCTTTCGGTTGAACTTCAGGCAAACCGCTAAGTATGCAAAAGAAATATGTATTTGAGAGATGTTTTATCAGCCAAAAGGATCTGTATTATTCCCACCCAGACCTGAGATTTACACAGCTCTGACACAGAGCACAATCCTACTTGGCAGAAAAGGGGAGCTGATCTTTTACTGCTGCAGTTTCATGGACATGTCTTTTCTTCACCCCTACCCTGTGACTGGCCAGTAAAATTAGAAGCAACGTACCGATGAGCTCATTTCTCAGTCATTCTGCTTTCTCCTGCTATCAGCATGCTCTCTGCACTGCAGCACTCCTAACTGGCTTCTTATGCTGCCTCTCCCTTTCCTAGTTTGAGCTCTGCTGTGTCTTTCATTCTGCCTGGTGAAATCGTTTAGATGCTTGGGTAGGCAGTACAACTATTTCTTTATAAATAGGCACAAATGACTATTAAGTATGATATTTAAAACATTACCACATTCTTACCACTAGATCTGTCTACACATTATTTAGAGTCCTAAATAATGTGTAGTACCATGTGTTTTTGTGCGGCATGATTTTTAGGAATCATGCACTTCTTTTGCCCCATTTCTTGCCTGTAGGACAGCCCTCTGAAATTGATGAGCTGCCCTAGATGTGATGGAAAAGAATGTGAGGAAATGTGCAAAAAAAAAAAAGTGTATGCGCTCCTGCGCACCTGAGAGGTCTGAAAAGACCCAAGACAACAAATGTCTGACTAGCCAGATAGCACAAACTGTGGTCAAATCTAAGAGATAGAAATTTTTATAAAACTTAAGGGAAATCTGTCCTAAGTGAAACATGGAGGCCACCACTGCCGACATCTCTTTCTGAAGATACTAGTTGTCTAGCTGTCAGGATTTTTCTTCTGGTCTTAATTAATCAGAACATAATACAAAAAGGTCAGGATTTTGCTTATGTTTTTGGATTCTATCTGGGTGTGTATGGTTTTCACATACATTTTTAGTAGTGTCACCGTGGCAGCCCCCATATATGTCTCAGCACAGGTTTCCTTTAGAATGACACTCACATTGTCCAGTCCACTCAGGGTCAGAATCTTGTCACTGTGTTCCAGCAGCTTGCAGGCATAGGCAATATTTACCGCCGTTTCTTCCTTGTCCCCGGTAAGCATCCAGATTTTAATAGCAGCTTCTCTCAAGGACTCTATTGTATCTGGAACTCCTTCCTGAAGACGATCCTCTATTCCAGTGGCCCCTACAGAATACAATGTACACCTGAGAACACTAAACTCCAAGAGCAAAAGGACTTGATTTATTAAAAAAGGGGAGCAAAACATTCCTGCTTTCAGTCTGTCAACTCTGAATTGCTTTGAAGATGGGATTGTCATACTCACTGAAAAATCCTTTCTTCTGAATTCTTTGATCAGATTGAAAGCTCCAACAAGCAGGGCCCTCTGATCACTACTGTATTAATTTGTATTGTAATTGTATTGTCTGCCCTTATATTGTAAAGTACTGTGTAAGCTGTTGGTGCTATATAAATCCTGCATTAGAATAATAATTGGGCACAGCTGAGATTTCACCACTGTATTACAGTAACTACCTTCAGGAGTAGGATATTAGGCAAAAAAAAAAGAAGAACTGCCTGGGGCAGACACAGACCATAACCAAACCTCCCTAATCTGCTAGATTCAGTTCAGTCAGAAGCGGTCCACAGAGAACAACATTTCATGGGGGGAGGAGGGGGACAAAAAACAATCAGAGGGGTGGGTGCTGAGTCTTTTAATAAACTCAGAGAAAAGGATTTTACAGCAAGTACAAAAATCCCATTTTTTTTATCAATTCATTGAAGACCACATCTGAGATCTTGATCTCAAACCATTGGAATGTCCTTAAGCTGTGTCTACCAGGAATGGGAAATGAACAACTTTCCCAAAGTAGGAACAGAAAATGCTGCCTATAAGAGCAGAGGCAGAAAAACTGCTCTATAAGAGAGGTCCTCTGACTGGAAATGCATAGGAGGCAGGTTCACCTTGAGAAGCAGCCCCCAGAGCCACCATACGTCCCTTCCAAGAGCTCGGAGAGGTAAGACATACTATAGGATGCTGTGGCTAAGAGGTAATCCCACACACCAGGAGACATCTAGCCAGTGCCAAGAAAACTATCTTCTGGACACTTGAACAAGGCGGGAGATGGAGAAAGTGTTGCGGTTGAGAGCTGAAATTAAACTCGGAAGCAGAAGGTTTAGGACATTAACACTGCTACATCCCTGTAAAGGCCAGCTCAGCAACAGGTCACACAGAAGTGATAGTAACCAGGAAGGAACCCAAAGCATAAGGTAAGAAGAGGAAATTACCCACAGAAGCCCAAAAGCAGCAGGCCCACAAAGAAAACCATATGCAACCAATGAATCACAAAAGGTAAAATACAGAAAATACATAATTCACTCTATACCACAGCCTATCACTAGAAGGTCAACGGCCCAATACTAAGGTCTGAAGCACTGAGATGTAAGCCAGATGGCACTCAGGTGCAAGTTGATACCAATGTGACTGTAAATAGGTCCAGATTGTTCCAACCAAGTAACCCAGGGTGAAATTTCGGCACAAGAGACAAAGAATTCCTATCAGGAACAAAGGTAAAAACTGTATTGAGGGTAAATGACCCAATGCGCACAGTGCAGGAATATGAGCTGCCTTTAGCAGAGGGTATTTAGCCACCTTTGGGGGGCTGCCATGGCAAAAAAATGTTTATTATATTTTAACCAGTGCTAAACAGTTCAATTTTTATTTACTAAGAAACCCTGGGGTTAGGATTTAAAGGGCTTTCTAGGATAAATGAAGAACTGAAAGAGTTCAGCTTGTTTATTTTATGGTTACACAACGTATCCAGTCACATTCCCCACTTTCCACTTATGTCCCTCAGCCTTGTAATGGTGGGCATTGGAAAGACGCCTTGATATCTTTACCTTGGGTGCTAAAAGGTCTTGTCCCAGCACAGCAGTGTTTATATCCAGCAGTTTGCTTTTCTCCTGTACTACCTGCATATGTAGCAGCATCTGTTATAAAGAACAATGGCTTTGGAGGAATGCTTTGCTCTGCTGTGTTTTCTGAAAGAAGAATAAAATTCTGCCCGTAAAGCCGGCCATAGAAGGAAGGATCGAACCTTGGCCAGTTCAGCAGGGATTTGGTCCATCTATGGGCAGGCTGGTTGTACTGAAGTCAATCCATTGATTAACTTTAGTACAACCAGCCTGTCGGATTTTCTGCAAGCGATTACTGCCAGTGGCTATAGCCACCAGGATTGATCATTGTGTTCCGGGAAGGCTCCCTGCTGGCAGAACACAATAGCTCCACGGGAGGCATGGTGGAAGGAAAGACATTCGGATCATCTATGACGGTGGTCTCCAAACTGGGGCCTAGGGATCGGATGTGGCCCTTTGCTTGCTTTTATCCAGCCCTCGGGGCAATATTTCATCCGCTTACACAAACAATGGGGCATGATTCCTCCAACTGACACCAATAAAGGGGCACATTTCCTCCCAATGACACCAACGATGGGGCAGTTTCTCCCAAAGACACCAATGATTGTGCACAATTCCTCCCAATGATGGGGCATAATTCTTTCCGCCAAATTACACCAACGGGGCATAATTCTTTCCACCCAATGACACCAACGATGGGGCACAATTCCTCTCACTGACACCAGAGATGAAGCATTTTTTACTCCCACTGATGCCAGAACATTTTTGTACTGCCAATTGTCACAGTCCAGCCTCCCTAAAGTTTGAAGAACAATAAACTGGCCCTTTATTTAGCAAGTTTGGAGACCCCTGATCAATGGCCTTCTTAACTGTAAACTATCACCACATTGCTGTCTGTTACCAATGCTGCCACTGCTGAAGATTAATTAAGAAAAACAAACTGTCAGTCAGTCAGTTTGCCCATTCAGAGTAAAATGACAAGGTTTGCCAACAGCTTACCTTCCCAGCAAGTTTTACACACCGTTGCATTCTTCCTGGGGAAAGGGGGTCCACCCTAGGAGTTAGCCTCGCTGTTGACACTTACCTGGTTTGGGGACTTCAATGTCCCCACTTGGTAGTGTTAAGACCTGGTGACTGGCTACTCAGAAGTGGGCACTGTCACATGGTGGAGGTCATATGCACCATTACTGAGGAGCTCTAACAGAGCAGGAAGGTGGCAAATCCAATAACACACTGCTGTGTGCAAAAGAAATCCTCCAACGGAAAGTGCATAGGGGTCTACAAATGCTTGATACAAAAGAAAAAATCAGCCTCTTACCAGACACTTTTTTTTATGTAGCAGTATTTGATTTATTATTGTTTATGATTTTTTATTGTACAGCGCACTCACTTTTTATGTTTTGTATTTTCTGGTGTTCAGGAAAAGAGTAGCAGAAGTTCACGAATTGTTTAACTATTGTTTCAGAATATAGAAGTATTTTGTTCACACATTTATTCACATATTGTATTGTCTGGGGTGTAGCACGGGTTTTTCCCCCTTTTTTCTGTCTTACAGGTTGCTATTGCAGACAGTATTCTAATAATGTTAGCCATTGAAGTGCCACACTGATCCTAAGGCTTCAGTAACTTCAAAGTCACCAAATTAGAAGACAATATACAGTACATACAAAATATGCAAGTACTGAAACAAGAGGGTCAGCATTAGCCAGAGAAGTAGCATTTCAGAAGGAGTTTGGCAATGGTGACCCAAGCACATCACTTATGACATGGTGTCTTGGTGTGGTCTTCAAAGCGGATTCCAACCCAAACATACAAAGCAGTAGCAAGTTATCTGACCCAAGAATTAAAATCTGTGTATACACGGTTTCTCCCAAGCAATCTAAGGCAATATGTGTAAGGGTTTTTCAGCAATACAAAAAGCACACAGAGAAGGTGTACAAACATTTACAGGGTTAAGTACGGACTCCATTACAACTGTCTCTCTGCATATCTGTAGGTACAATCAGAAAAGTTCCATGCTATGTTTAATATGAACCAACTACAGTTTCTATAAACACATGTCCTTTTAGTAACCTTGCCAACCTGCTACGCCTTTACAAATATCTCCTCATTAAATTCTCAACCCTATACAGGTTATACAAGATGTGTATTCTAGTGTCAAGGCTAGAAAGAACAGACCTACCAAGTAGTGTAAGATCGGTTTCCAGTCTGAGGGCAGACTCGTACAGCAGCTCTTCTCGGTCATCAATACTGGTCTCTGCTAGAAAGTGGGACTGTAACCATTCAGCATACTCTCCCTCACTCATCACCTGCACAAAACAGGCCACAAGCAGATTCACAAACACATTTTGAAACTATGGGTTCACATGATATAAACACAGCAATTTATGGGCTGGATAGTGCTACGATATTTCCATTAAATTAAAGCTCCTGACACTCCTGGCTTCCCCCCTCTTTCAGAATTTGGTGTGCCCCCATAGAAAGCTGCTTCCTATGGTGGCACACCTGCAGGCTTGAACCCGAGCCACGCTGCCTTTGTCCTATATTTGTATGAATGAATACAAGGCTTACACCCATTTGCTAAGGTGGAGAGGCAGGCAGGTGACATCATAACTCGCTTCAGCTAAAGAAAGCTTTCCATTCATAAAATTACAAGACGTCCTCTGCATAGCTGAGCAGCACTCAGGTCAAGATGATTTTGGTTTGGGAACAGGATAGGAAGTACCCATCCCATTGCTGGAAAACAGCACTCCATACTGTATGTAGCTGAGGCTACTTATAGTTTATACAGCGCTGACAGCGGATGCATTTTTACAGTAATGGAAATAGTTCCAAGCTGGCCCAAATGAACTATTTAAAGTAACACAAAACCTGGGAGTTAAGCTTTCTTTTCTTTTCAATGCAAACTACACACAAAAATACACGAAAAAATGCTTTTCATCGAATTTGATCACAATTTGTTTTAAAATACAATACAAAGTGTTGCTGTATATAAGAAGTGGGCATTTTTTTCTATAATTTGTTGACATCAAGATGGAGACTTTATCCTAGATGTTGAAACAGGGCTGATTACAGGAAGACCCCCCCCATCTTGAAATTTTTGGGCTCCCACATTCCCTCCCTTTCCTTACTGTTTTTTTTTTTTTTTTTTTGCCTGAGCATTCAAAACTGGTAGCCCATGAGAGTGGAGAGAAATGGCTTTTCTCATCTTCTACCCACTCCGGGTTTCCCTTTCTAGTCTCTCTCCAATGCTTTGTTTTTTTATATTATTTTGTGAAGCATTCTGGATGTGAAAAGCAAATTCCTTTTTATTTACTTATTCTGTACATGATTGGATAATCAAAGTGAACACAGCTACAATTTGACTGAAAATCCTCAAAGCTTTTAGCAGGTCATCCTGAGAGCCATTGCAGTACCTAATCTAATCTTCTAATGACTAGTCTACAGATCCCTACATTTATGAGAACATGAATATGGAAGAGCAAGCATGTGAAATAGATGGAGGTGGATTTCATCTAACAGAAGAGGCATCAGCAAAATGGACACACCCTACTTATAGGAAGCTAAGTCCTTTGTGCTGTTTTTGTGTTTTTTTATTTTGGCTGAACTGAAAAATAGGTGATCAATGAAAATACATTAGGCTCAGTTCACACTGCTGCGACTTGGTATCTGACTTGTGAGACCCCAAGTCGCATAACATGTGAAATCCCATGTTAGTCAATGAGAGCTGTCTTAATAAGAACTACTGAAGTCACTCCGACTTAGAAAAAGCTTCCTGTGCTACTTCAAGGAGACTTCTATCCGACTTGTGTCGATACACTTTAACAGAAGTCGCCTCCACATCGGATCCTCATCTTTATTGATGTGATTTGGATCTGACATTACAGGAAGATTACCCAGGCATTCCATGAAAGTTGCTTCAAAGTAGTACTCAAGTTCCCTGGAAAAGTCGCACTGCAAGTTGTGAGACTTTCAGGTTGCAGTAGTCTGAATCGAGAATTAAAGCTCAGCACTGCCTTTCAAATCCAAAAATGCAATGCAATCTAAGAATAACATTTCATGTCTGAGCCAGGAGACATTCATGAATAATTTGTTGTGGCCTTGTGGACAACTGTACAGCCTACCTAAACCAACTGGTATGGGTAGACTGTGTACAAGATCAAATGCATGATATCATACAGGAACAGTCAGAAGTGTCTGGAACCTACTGGGAAACGAGTCAGCAACACAGTGAACACAATCAGTATCAGTTAACTTTCACATCACTTATGAAATGTTATATCTGCTGCTATGTACATCAATCTAACAACGTATGAATATAGGAAGAACCTACAGACGTGCAACACACAAGGGTAGATTTACTAAAGGCAAATAGACACTTTGCAAGTGCAGCTGCTTTTGAGCTTAGTAAATAAGGTAAAGCTTCACGTTACAAAATTCCCAATCACATGCAAGGAAAATGAAAAAAAAAAAAAAAAAACCCAAAAAACCAAAACAAAAAAAAAAAAAAACAGGATTTTTGCTTGCACATGACTGGATGATGGAAGCCAGCAGAGCTCCCCCTCTTTTACGAAGGTCTGGAGTAACTGCACTTACAAAAGGGCAGAGTCTATTTGCCTTTAGTAAACCAAACCCACAGTCAGTACGGGAGATATCCTTGCTGCATGAACAATTATATTCTAATACTTTCAGGTGACAGGTACAAGCAGAGACAGCCATATTTCAAACGCATTGTTGAGCTTAGGTAACAGGGAGAGTTCCAGCTCAGACAATGCTATGTGCACATACTTTATATACAAACAGGCTGCCAACTACTATAATCTGATTTGCAGAACAAATTGCAAAAAATGTGGAAAAACATGCTTATCTTTACCTTTTTAGCAATACATAAAGTGCGGAGTCCACTTCTGGCATATTTATCTAAATGACTTTGTGTTAACTTTCGGATGTCAGTTTGCAAGACGTCTGTTTTGCTATCTAAAAGCACAAAAATATGTGACATGATTAGTAAAGTGAAATTAATATAAATATCGGCATATTCTACAAAAAATATTCAGTTTAAGTTTCACAGTGATATGTGTAGAACTGAAGAAAAAAATAAATCGTTTGATGGTGGTAATTATTGAGCGAAACGTGAGAAACAGTGCCATTGAGGATCATAGTATTTTCTGGCTGTTTTGCAATACCAGGTTTTACCAGCAGGCTACAGCTCCAAGTTCAGCTAAAAAAAAAAAAAAAACAGACTTAGGGAGCAAACCCAACAGGAAGAAATTCTATGGCACACAGAAGAATAACACTGCTAACATATGTAGGGTCCTGGTGCTGTACTGTAAAGTACATTTACAGTAAGTTATTATGGACCTGGTACAATTAGCAGTGTATTTGGAATGGCGAGGTCAACTTTTAAATACCCAAGGGCTCTCAACCACCACCCTTGACATCACTAAGAGACTGCACATAACATTCAGTATATGTACTACTGCAAAAGGCTATAGGAGACTGCAGACATACTAGAGTAGACATTAAGATACTGGAGACTACTAAAGATTGTCAAAACAGTGAACATGCTGCAAGTGTGGTTGGAAACTGGACACATGCTGCAGAAAAGAGTCAAAGACTTGGGAAATGTTCCTGCTGAAGCCCACTGCCATTACAGTCCCTCTACAAATCAATGCTTCAGCTTGCCCAACTGATTGCGGGGTTCCAAAAGCCTCACAGAAATTATCACAGGGCCGCAGGTTGAGCACCAGTGATTTGGAGCCATCAGGAGCCATTAATGAAATAACTATAGTAAAGGAGATCTTATCTTAAAGGATAAGTTCACCTTTTGAGATCTGCTGATCGCGAGTGCGATGTTCTGCAAGCTCCTGCAGACTCTCAGCCTAACTGCCCGTGCCTCGAACAGACAGGCAGTTACTTGAGAACAGGATAAATCAATGGACTACCAGAGCGCTCACCAGCACACTTATTGTTCATTGAGGACTACAACAAGCCATCAGTCACAATGACGCACTCATTCACAGGAAACTGTGATTGAGTGAGGCAATTAAGTGGGCAAAGCCCCGCACTGCCATGCGTTTTTTAAACTGTTACAGCGGGTGCAGGGAGAGGATCCTATGCCCGCTGTCACGGGGGGGGGGGGGGGGGGGGGAATCAGGGGGGAAAGGCTGCAGATGCCGAAATACGTTCCAAAAGGTGAACTTATCCTTTAATACACAATAAAATTATGGCAAAATGATAAAGAGGTTTGGCTCTTCCATGAGCCAAGCAATATAAAGACAACAACATTGACAGGGATGGTCAATCTTTTCCAAACTCGTATAAGAACTGCAGCATCTAGATAGCTGTAGCCACCTGATGCTACCCAGTGACAGACTATTTATGTCTTGCGATGACTGGGTCATTGAGACTGTGTCTATTGTTGCAGCCGATATGACGGTTATTGATCAAGCTGTCACAGATAAATAATAGTGTACTCTACAAATTAAAGTCTACATGTCCAGCTGTAAATCTACAGCTATTGAGTATTGGCATCCAAGAATGCTTGTCAAATGTACAGTTTATATATTCTATTACTGGAACATGTAAACAGGTAATCCAATTGAAGAATATGTCAGCATAAAGCAAGCCTTGTGTTCTAGAATTCTTTAAGTCTTGGGTATACATCATGTTAAATGGTACAGTGTAAACACCTCAGTAATTCTTGTAAGAGGCAGACCTAATTAAAACAAAAAAAAAAAAAAAAAAAAAAAAAAAAAAAAAAAGTGCTAATGTTCCTAAAGTGGGGGAAATTTTGACAGCCATCACTAGAACAAGTCCCCAAATGGAAGATTTCCCTTTACCTTCTGTTCCAGTGACAACTGCAACATTGTTGGGTTAATATACTAAAACTGGAAAGTGCAATATCTGGTGCAGCTCTTCACAGAAACCAATCAGATTCCAGGTTTTATTGGCAAAAGTTTCATTGAACAAACTGAAGTTAGAAGCTGACTGGCTACCATGGAAATTTGCACTAGATTTTGCACTCTCCAGTTTTAGTAAATCAACCCCTTTGTGTTTTCCCACATTTTGATTCTTATCACATTGTGTACAGGACAGATAATAAAAAGGTGAACCTTCAGAATGGGGACACAATAAAAATCGAAAAGAGGTTCTAACCCCTAAACTACTAAAACGTTTTGCCTGGAAATCTAATCTAATGCAGCTAAACTGTAATCCAATTCATTACTAATTATGACTTGTTTTAAATGATCTAACTGAAAAAAAGTCTAGAGGTGCACCTTATGATAACAGACCTAATGTACAAACTAACCCCTTCCACTGCAGCCTTCAGGTATTTTGAGAAAAGACACACTGTTGTATCGTACATTCTCTTTAAAAAGTCTTCAAATTTATTGATTCTCTACAAAAAGGCACAATGTCAGTACACCGCAGTTGTTAACATGTTTACGCCTTGTCCGCCTTATTTATCACATATTATTGGTTATAAATGAGGCCGACAAGACTGAAACACGTTAACAACTACGCAATACTGACACTGTGCCTTTTTGTAGAGAATCAATAAATTTGAAGACTTTAAAGAGAATGTATGGATTGTCTTTTCTCATAATGTTGTTAGCAGCTCTGACTGCTCATCACACACTCATCACCTCTAGAAGATTTTCACATACTATTGGGCTGTAGCACCTTAACTCTTTTTTTCATATTTTATGGGCTCTAACAACTGTTTTATCATATGTACACTACTGTGCAACAGTTTTAGGGCAGCTGTAAACTGAAAACACTTTCAGAAAAAAAGAGTTAATAGCTTATTTTTATCAATTAACAAAATAGAAAGAAAATGAACAGAATAGAAATCCAAATCAAATCGTTTGGTGTGACTACCTTTTGCCTTCAAAACAGCACCAATTCTTCTAGATACACTTGCACACAGTTTTTGAAGGAACTCAGCAGGTAGGTTTTTCCAAACATCTTGGAGAAGTAACCACAGATCTTCTGTGGATGTAGGCGGCCTCAAATCCTTCTGTCTCCTCATGTAATCCCAGACAAACTCGATGTTGAGATCAGGGCTGTGTTGGGGCCATACCATCACTTCCAGGACCCCTTGTTCTTTACACTGAAGATAGTTCTTAATGACATTGGCTTTTTGACTCATCAGTCCCAAGCACCTGCCACCATTGTTTTTGCACTCCAGTTCCGTCACTTACTCTTGATGCCACAATGGAAATATGGCATTTTGGCGGCTATTCTTCCATGAAGACCACTTCTGGGAAAACTTCTACAGACAGTAGATGGGTGTTACCTGGGTCTCACTAGTTTATGCCAGTTCTGTACTGATGGCACTAGTGGACATCTGACATTGAAGGGAATGAAGTATGATGTGTTTTTCACCGGCTGCATTAAGGTTCTTTGGCCGACCACTGCGTCTACAGTTTTCAATGTTGACAGGTTCTTTGTGCTTCTTCAAAAGAGCTTAAACAGCACATCTCAAAACCCCAGTCTACTTTGAAACCTTTTCCTGGTTAGAGACCTTGCTGATGCAGTATAATTATCTTGTGTCTTCTTCCTGTGCTTAGTTTTGCAACGGTATATGACCTGTGACTTGAAACTGTCTTCCACAACCTTACCTTAGTAGAAGAGTTTGGCTGTTCCATATCCAGTTTTAAGCCTCCTACACAGCTGTTTCTGTTTCAGTTAATGCCTGTGTATCAACCTACATATGAAATTGATGATCATTATCACCTGCTCTGTATAGTTGACAAATCATACACCTGACTCTAATCCTACAAAATCCCTGACTTTGTGCAAGCGTACAAAATGTGTGCAAGTCTAAGAATTGATTTTTTTTCAAGCTAAAAATGGTAGCCACACCAAATATTTGTTTGATTTAGATTTTACTTCTGTTCACTCACTTTGCATTTTGTGAACTGATAAAAAACTAAACAATTAAAATATTTATTTTTGAAAGCATTCTTACTTTAAAGCATTTCTTCACACCTGCCTAAAACCTTTGCACAGTACTGTATATGTGTTTCTCTCTCAATGTGTGCCAGCTGCAAATCATAGAAATTAGACTTGGGAACTGCCACTGCTGACTTTTTTTTTTTTAACCACTTCCCGTCCGTCCCATGTATATGAACGGCTGGACAGTGGTCACATGAATAGGAGTAAGCAAGATGTCACTTCTGACATAATTGCTTACTATGTGTGAAATCTGTGAATGATCACAGAGATCACATGGTATAAGGCTATTCACAACAGCCTTGTACCATGTGACAAGCTGTGATCAATCACAGCTCACACAGTATTTCTCAATGGCTGCAAGCCTTTACAGCCTTTATGGGTTTAAAAGCAATCAGTGTAAAAAATAAATCTTCATCACCCCCCACAAGTAGTACAGTGTCACTATGGTGACACTGTACTGCTAGGGTGACAGTATGTTAAAAAAGAAAAAAAATAATATAAAAAATAAAAATGTAAAAAAATGTTTTTTAAAAATTATAATTTTTGCTTATAAACTAAAATTTTGGTTATTTTGTTTTACTAAAAAAAATAACAATAAATTTTGGCCAAGATTTATGAAGAAGAGATTTGCAAAATTTTATAAGAAAAACACTTTTTTTTCAAAATTACTTGGACTTTTTAATTTTTATAGCAAAAAAATAAAAATCCCAGTTGTGAATAAATACCACCAAAATAAAAAAATTCATATGGGTACAGTGTTGCATGACCGCGCAATTATCATTCAAAGTGTGACAGCGCTGAAAGTTGGCCTGGACAGGAAGGGTGTAAAAGTGTCCAGACATGAAGTGGTTAAGGTGGATATCTCAGGTCTGTCACCCATCTTGCTTCACTAATCAGAGAAATCACTGATCCAAAGCAATTGCGCAGCCAGCAGGCTGGGTGAATTACTGATCCAGGTTAGTAATACACTGAGAAAGGGATCAGAAGGATGTCCTAACTGCACCTACCAAATTCAGATACAAATCAGCAATACAGCAGATCCAATATTACTCCAGCTGACCGGCTCTCCTTGTTTTGGGTTTCATATACTGGTCATCACTACCTTAATGAATAATCACAACTGTATTTTAACATTTCAATGGGCGTAGAGCTTACCATCTGATGTTGGGGATAGGAGATCCATTATAACAGAATCTGCTCCTTTTGTGTACACCACAACCTTATTTGTCAGCGGATGGCGAACTACAATGGACATCCTTTTTCTGACAGAGTCAAATGGTAGAATATGCAGCAGCTGGAATGTCATGGACCCAATAGTGCCAAGTTCTACAGTGACTTGATCAGGTGTCCGGGACATAAGGACACATTTATAAGCTCTGGCAGCATGTACCAGCGCAGCTTCATCAGGAGACTCAGCCTCATAGTACACCTCACATGTGCTCAGCTTATTGTAGCCATCAGCAGCATCTGTAAGTTCAGATTTTTCAAGGCTTTCCAGCAATGCCTCCCCTGTAGCATCTAAGCTGGCTTCTAAGGCTTTGTCCCCCTCAACAGGAGAAGTCAGCTTCATTTTGCTGAAAAAGGGCAGTTTATACACAAAGTTATTGGGGGATTCTGAAGAAGAATCTTTTCCACTCAGAAGAGAGGTTGCGCTTATCTTGCGTACAGAGAACCTCTGAAACATCTGCTTGATTTCCTCCAGGGATTTCATTGGGCTCCTTATTAGTGATGGCATTCTTACCTGTTTACAAATCATAAAGGTGACAATTACACTCTAATGTAACTGCAACAGATTCTAATCAAACGTATGACAGTTAAAGAGTGCTTTCCACTTAAAGATGAATTTCAAGTATGGATATTTTATACACAGTTCCATTGGTCAAGCTTGAACCAGTGTAACTACGTATATACCCTACTTAGACGTTGCCCCTGTAAACTGAAAATCACTGAGGTAGACACCATTACTCAAGTGACCTCCATCTGCTTCCAGGTCCTGTGCCAAGTGGCTGGCTTGCTGCATTCTGAACCCCAGAGTTCGGCTGCTCAGAAGTGTCATTCAGAGAATGCTTTGTATTTCTGAATTAATGCAAAGCATTCTATGATTGAACGAGGTGAAGAGGGGGGAAGTGATGTCACTATGTATAAGATATCCATACCTTAAATTCAGCTTCAAATAAGAACAAGTCAACGCTATAGTATATATAATACAATGTTTTCCCTAGCTTATGGCAGATGGCTTCACTTTATAATAAGCACTGTAAATCTAGAGATCAATTCTTCATACATGTTTGTACTTTCTGACATTAGCTCCTCCCCTAGCTTGTCCCCAGCCTGGTCTGGCTCAGTTTATAAGAATTTGGTACTCTACTCTTGTTTACGCCCTTGCTTGGGAGATGTCCCATCACTGCCATATCTCCTGTCACTGGGACAGAATGTGAAGGGAAAGCTTTCCAACATAAACAGTAATTTGTTCACCTATTAGAGTGTGACTGTATTAAACTTTTCATGTTTTTATTGTGGTCTTTACTCTGCTGTCGTTTCCTGTCTTAGTGACACCCTGTAATTTAAGGTGTGATGGGGTGTCACTGGAATAGGGAAAATTTCTGCACTGGGGGCATGGCTGCACAAATATAATAGATGTTCTAATCCTTTTACTCTCTATATAAGAAGCTTTGGCTGGTTTCCGGATGCAAGCTTTATTATGCCAGCACACATTAATTAGTAGGAACAAACAGTACCTTCTGCCGGGGCTGATTAGGTAATGACACCACCACAGTGTTGCAGATGGCCAAAGCAAGAAAGAAGTCCATGATGTATGAGGCCTCCAGTGCTATTTTTCTTCACAATGACTGGAAAGATACAGAGACTGAGGGCTGATCTGGTAAAACTTCCTCTCTAATCTTGGATCTGGTAACACATCCTTCTCCTGGTAACAGAACACAAACAAGCCAGTTATTACCTTTTTATGGATTTCTAACAAAATCACAACAAACAGCTTGAATATAAATAAAATAAGAATATAACTCTTCCATGGACAACCTTTTAAACAGTAGGTTAAAATTAATTATACATAAAAAGTTAAACACTGCACAAGACATGCGGATAAAATCGGTTAATACTCTCCTGTTAAGGAAAAAATTGGTATATCAACAGAGGAATCGCGCTACCAAATTTTGTAAAATATTGACAATTTGTATAAAAACTCCAGGCCTGGCATCAAATCAATTAATTGTGGTTAGAAAGTTAGCTTAAAGGAGCAACAAATGCTGTCTCTCTACCAATCTTAACTAAATAATAGGCGATATCTGATTAGCTTTCTTCATTAATTGGTAGGACCATGATTATACATTTCTGTACTAACTCACCTTTGATGTGAGCATTCATATTCCTTAGAATTCTAATTAATGGGTATATTACAGGAATTTATGGGTGACCTATTGATATCTCATTGGATAGGTGCCGATACAGCAGTTCTTATGATGAGAAGATTGCTTAAAGCGGAGCTCCACCCAAAAGTGGAAGTTCCACTTTAAGTCTTTGTCCCCCACTCCCCATCAAGGATTGGCACCTTTGGGGAGCGGATACCTGAATTTGACAGGTACCCGCTTCCACACGCTGTGATTGCCTAAGGCGATCGGAATGGGAAGTTGTCCTCCTTCCCGCTCTCCCTGGAGTCTTGTGTAGGACATGTGACAGGTCCCAGAAGACTACGGGGCCATTTACAAAGCGCAGCGCTTCTCGCGCATGCACAGTAAGCACCTGGCTGTGAAGCAGCAAGCTGTCACAGCCGGGTGCCCCCACTGAAAGTGCCAGCGCCCAGGGGAGAGAAGATGACAGCAGCTACACTGACTTATTTTTTTTTCTTTCAGGTGAAACTCCGCTTTAACTACTGATTTGTATATTGCATTCTAAGGCGAAGTTGCAATTGTTGTCTAAGTTGTATTTTTCTCTGCCTTACCCTCTGAATGTATGCGCAAGTATTATAACTTTTTTTTGAGAATACTGAATGATGGAAGGGGTGGAAAGGTAGAGTTGTGTTGTGATTTATCATACTAAGATAACTTATTGCAATAAAAATATTTACTTTAAGAAAAAAAAACAATTGACAAATTAGATATCACTATTGGTATTTACACACCATAGGGCTGCTAAATGCAAAATGTCTTGGTTGCGGCAGAGAACAGGTTCCATCTCCTTCTCCTCTCAGTTCTAAACCACTTGAAGACAGTTTGTTTAGTGACTTGTTGCTTGGCATGCTCCTCACTGATTTGGGGCTTTGATTCTTGCTCTTGAATGCTGCACTTCTGGAGAAGAATTGATCCACAGATTCTTCACAGGGCAGATCAGGATCTTGATAGGACTGCAGTCGCTTGGCTTTAAAAACAAAGACAGCACTATGGACTTAATGACTTCAAAGGCAAACCATAGTAGAACACATAAAACAAAGACAAAAGAGCAGAGCATAGCAATCTTTGCGTATTATAAAATCATAAACCCTTTAACAATAAAATGCACACAACAAGCATAAGGGAATATAGGTTGGACATTTTTAACCCAGGCTGCTGTGTGGGTGAAGTAATGAGTACAGTAAATACCCAGAATGTGGATTATTGAAACTGGAAAAATGTAAACCAATTAGGACCCATCAATTTAATGCACATTAACAAGAATACACCGATTAGCAATAGTTTAAGGTTCCATTCACACTGGTGCGACTTGTCATGCGACCTTGGACACGCCAAGTTGTAGCCTATTCTTTTCAATGGCACCTGATCAGATTGGTGCGACAAAGTTGCAGCGAATTTAAAAAGGTGCCTACACTACTTTGATGCGACTTTTGGTGTTACTTAGGTCCAGAGAGTGTAAAGTCAGATCAAATTTGCAGTCCAAAGTTGCACAATGAAATCTTGAGACTTTGGAGTCGCACAAGTGTGAATAAAGCCTATAAGGTTGCTTCACATCTGTGCGACACGTGCTAGGCAAAAGAAAAAAAATGAATGTCTTTTTTTAGCATGCAGTAAAAGAGATTACTGATGGCACAGCAATAAAAATGCATTGAAAATGAATGTCGTGATAAAAATTGATACTGCAACACTTACAGCATTCTTTGTTTGTCTAAAAAAAAAATTAAGCCAGAACAGCCCTTTAAAAAATAAGCTGAATATTTACATGATGGGCAATTGGTGAAATCCCATACAGAGCTAGCAGCAGCATTGCTATCTGACACATCTGGGTGTATCAAAAAGTGTGTTTCCCTTTAGTGCTACGAAATCACTGCAGAACACAGTATTATATTGCTTTGATTTTTACAATGAGCATCATAGTATATTCAGAAAAGACGTACCATTGGCTTCATGGGAATATTCCACACCTGCAATGCTACACCTACGAAAAACCATCTTGTTCTCTGTAAGAGTGCCAGTTTTGTCTGAGAAAATGTACTGCACTTGACCAAGGTCCTCTGAAATGTTCAGTGCTCTGCACTCAATCATGGAATCAGACTTCTCACAGTAGAAATCTCGGTCATTCTGGATGAAGAAGATTTGCCCCAGTTTAACAATTTCAATAGAGACGTAGAGGGAGATTGGAATCAACACCTAAACAAAAGCAAAACATGAATAAAAAAAATGCAGCAAACTGAAGTTCTAATAAAACCCTTCAAATCCTAAAGAATTAGCAACACAGGAAAAATGACAAATATGTGTAGAAACAGATACAAGGAGCAAAATCTAACCTCACTGCATTGCATCACCAATAGGAGTTCAGAAACTGTGAATGGTTTATGGAAAATCGAATGTAGGCCAATAGCAACTGGATTGCAGCTGTCTAGCAAGGCTGAATTCGAAGGATCTAATTGGTGGCTGTGCGCACCACTTCTACTTGTACTGTATAAAAGCATTTATTGGGCAACACAGTGGCTAAATGGTTAGCAATTCCGCCTGGCAGTACTAGGGTTGTTGGTTCAAATCCCAACCACGGCACCACCTGCCTGGAGTTTGCATGTTCTCCCTGTGCCTGCGTGGGTTTCCGGTTTGCTCCTACACTCCAATGACATGCTGGTAGGTTAATTGGATCCTGTCTAAATTGGCCCTAATATGTGTATGTATGAATGTGAGTTAGGGACCTTAGATTGTACTCCCCTTGAGGGTTAGGGACTGATGTGAATGCACAATATATATATGCAAAAGCTCTGCGTAAATTGACGGCGCTACACAAGTACCTGAAATAAATAAATACATTTATAAATCAGCCCACTGTTACTTTAACAAAAAAAAAAAAAAAAAAAGCAACAGTGAAATCTTTGACATGAAAAGAAAATCTTACTATGCACTGATCATATGTTTTAGGCCTTGTTCATCTGTGGGGGGGGGGCATGTTTACCTGCACAGGGATGCACAAGTGTTCTTGGGTGAACACAGTCGAGATGCTGCATCTGTCCCCTGCTGTTTCAAAGACCGAGAATTGAGTGCTCAAAGACCGCTGACCACTACAGTTCAGTCCAGGCATCTGGGTGGATTGCAACATTAAAGTTAGGATCACTCCAGAGCCTGGATCAAATCTATGACATCAGCCAGCAGAGGGCTTGAGCCCGCTGTTGGCTGAAAACGGGCCACAGGGGTGCAGAATGAAGTGCACTCTTGTGATCCATAGAAGTAGAGCCAAATAGCGTTGGCCCTACTTCTCCTTTATGCATTAGCATAAAGCACATGAACGGGACAATTTTAGATGATTACAAAGAATTATTCCAGGTCATTTTAAAAGGCACTATATTATGGTGCTGGTAGAGCCTGTGGGCAGAAGAGAGTTAAAACAAAATAAAATCTTTATTTCAGCTTACTGGAAGGTCAACATTTTGGCTTGAATACAACTACTCATAATAGCAGGCAGTCATTATCGGATACTCCCAGTATTACTAGTTTTTATTTTTCCTGGCAGGAGGTAGGTAGGTAGCATATCTGGCCCTGAAAATGTTTTACTGTGTACAAGAAAGTCATTGTTCCAGTTCTATAAATTGATTATGCAGCTGAAAACTTACATATTCACTAAACTAACATAGAAATGTACCTGCAGTAGGATTATCATTGTCCAAAACATGTAAAAGGCAGCCAGTGCTGGAGGGGTGTGCGCTCCGCTGGGTTCGGGAATGCTAAAAATTGGAGGTTCAGGAAAATGCATCAGCCAGATCCCATGCCCTTAAATTTGGAAGTAAAAAACATCAAATCAGAATGTTTGAGAAAAATTATAACATGCAGCTGAACTAGAAATCCTACCTGCCCAATATAAATAACAGCAAGAGCTCAACAGTATGTCTTTTCACTGACTAGGATTGTTGAGTAAACTGGTGAGGAAGAAGGTAAAACAGTAAATAGATTTCAATGGAATATATAATGCTGAACTCCAGGCAAACAACTAAAAACACAAATTTAAAAAAAATATATATATAGCACTAACACAAAGCACAGCCAGGTTAATGACACCACTTTCTATAAAGTGATATTAACCACTTGCCCTCCAGAGGATTTATCCCCATTCCTGACTAGGCCATGGTTTGCTGTTCGTCACTGTGCTATTTCAACTGCTAATTGTGCGGTCGTGCAATGCTGCACCTAAATGAAATTTATGTCCTTTTTTGCACAAAAATAGAGCTTTGTTTTGGGGGTATTTGATTGCCTCTGCAGGTTTTTTTTTGTGCTATAAAACAAAAAAAGACCAAAAATTTTGAAAAAAAAACAAATAAAATAAATAAATAAAAATCTCAGTACATGTATATTAATTGGTTTGTGTGAAAGTTATAGCGTCTACAAACTATGGTATATATATTAGAATTTACACAGCTTTTACTTTCTGACTGCCCATCACATTTCTTGAGGTGCTATAATGCCAGGGCAATACACCCCCCCCCCCCCCAAATGACCCCTTTTTGGAAAGTAGGCACCCCAAGGATTTTGCAGAGAGGCATGTTGAGTCCATGGAACATTTTATTTTTTGCCAAAAAATTGACAATTTTTTTTTTTTTTTTTTTTTTTTACACAAAGTTGTCACTTTACAGATTTATTGCTCACACAAGCCATGGGTATATGTGGAATAACACCCCAGAAACACATTCTCCTACTTCTGAGTATGGGGATACAACAGGTGAGACTTTATGGCAGCCTTGCTACATACAAGCCCCCAAAACCCAATGACCACCTCCAGGCATATTTCCTCAAATCACTTCCCCAATACCTAGCACAGTTTCGGAGGCGCTAAAATGCCAGGATAGTACAACCCCCCTCACCCCCCCGCCTTCTAAATGACTGCTTTTGGAAAGTAGACACCCCAAGGAATTTGATAAAGAGGAATGGTGAGTATTTTACAGATATAATTTTTGTCACAGGGTTTTGAAAAAAGAAAAAAAAAAAAAAAAAAAAAAAAAAAAAAACCACACATTTTCTGTTTTCTTTCTTCATTTTCCAAAAACATGTGGCAACAAAAGAGATCTGCAAAACACTCACCATGCCTCTAGCAAATACCTTGGAGTGTCTACTTTCCAAAAAGGGGGTCATTTGGAGGGGTTGCTTCTACTATCCTGGCATTTCAGGGCCAACACTAGAAGCTTTTGCCACACATCACCCACTCTTGAAGACCAAGCCTTTTATGACACTTTGTTCACATGAAAAAACTGGGGTTTTTTTGCTACAAAATTCCTTTGAACCCCCAAACATTATATATTTTTTTAAAGCAGAGGCACTTGAAAATAAAATGGTGGGTGTTAAAATTTTATACATCACACAGTATTTGCACAGCGATTTTTGCAAACGTAAATCTTTTGGGAAAAATACACTTTTTAGAATTTTAATGCACAAAAACACAATATATGGCTCAATTGTTTGATAAAATATAAAATATGATGTTATGCTGATTAAATTGATACCAAACATGAGATGCTTTAAAATTGCGCATGCCCGTGCAATGGCAACAAAGTACATACATTTTTATTATCGATAGACGATGCTTTAAAAGCCTTTACAGGTCACCAATTTATATTTACAGAGGAGGTCTAGTGCTAGAATTACTGCCCTCGATCTGCCATTTGTGGAGATACCTCACATGTATGGTGCAACCGCTGTTTATATACTGGCACTGGGTCACTGCTTGCGCATGCAGGTGCGAGCGCAAAGGGGGGGCAAGGGTGCTTTTTTTTTTTTTACCCTCTACGTCGCTTTGCTTATAGCTGCCGCCCTGCTGCAGTACATTGTGGGCGGGCAGCTGGGAAGCGGTTAAAGGATTGGATTAAAAAAAAAAATAAAACAAACAGCCCCGAGCCTCTTTTCAGGTCCCCCACCGGCGTTCCTGGCTACTCCCCCTTGACTGATGCCCCCAATAGCAAGCAGCTTGCTATGGGGACAATGGTGCATGCTCGCTCCCGAGCCCTGCTCTATGCGTTATATAAACGGAGCAGCGGCTCAGCCCCGCCACCTCTCTCTTCTAATTAGCTCATTGTCTGTGATTGACAACAGTGGGAGCCAATGACGTCTGCTGCTGCCTCAGCCATTGAGGAGAGGGAGTCCCAGGACAGCCAAAATTCATGTGCACATTGCTGGATCGAGATGAGGCTCAGGTGAGTATTGTGGGGGGGACTGCACACAGGAGGTTTTTTTTACCTTCAGCCTTTATAACCAATCCCAATCAGGTGACTGAACAATGAATGAGCAGCAGCAGAAAAATTAGGCCATGTCTCAGTTTACTCTGCTCTCTCCTCCTATCAGCATGTTTCAGCTCAATTAATTATTGTATAAAAACGTTTCACCCTTCTGTTATCAGGGAGTTTGTGGAATTCAAACTACTTAGCAATTTTAAAGTAAACTACAATAACACAGAGGCCTTGAACACCTCCCTGACCCAACCTGTTTCATCCCAGATCCAATCTAATTTTTTCCTTTAAATGGCATCCGAAAGCAGTCATATACCTAGTTGTCTTTATTTCCACCTCTTTAACCTCTCTGGCAGACACCAGTTATCAGCCTTTGCTCCATGCGATCATCTTGTGTTTGAAATTATGATAAACCACCCCTTTATTGGCTTGGCCGGGTGAACGTTATTAAGATGGACACCTTGCCTAAATTACTGTACACGTTTCGGTGGTCCCCATAAATCCCCCAGCGGGCTTCTTTCCCTCCTTGACCAAAGCTATACGTTCTTATATATGGCAATAAAACAAAACCTAGGTTAAGGCTTACAACTCTGTCTTTACCGAAGAATAGAGATGGGTTGGCACTCCCCCAGTTCTCCCTTTATCATCATGCCGCCTCTTTGCTACGAAATCTCGATTGGTACTATGAGAAAAATATCAAACGATGGGCATCTTAGGAAGATGACTTAGGAAGATCCCAGATTTATCTTCCTTACCTTGGATGACCTCCAGGTAGGCTGCCCTTGGATCATTTATCTATTCTTACTGTAGCCACCCTACAAGTGTGGGACTTGTACCTCTCCAGAGGTTTTCTCTCTTCCTACTCAAGTTCTTTGACCTCCCTTTTTGAAGAAGATTTGCTTTTTCACCAGCATTGCGCCAATTGCAATTTCTCTCCTAGACAAGAAGTGCCCATCCCTTGTTAGGACACACTATTTCGAGGGGCAAATTAGTTCCCTTGTCTCAACTCCTACCAAACTGTCATAAACCTTCTGGAGCTTGACTAGAATAAACCCAATTAAAACATTATCTAAGGACTTTAATCCCCCTGGACTCCATGACTAGACTACTCTCTCAGTCCACCAGAACAAAACACTCACTTTGCCTGATCGATATTTTGTTGAAAGAATCCTTTTCTCCATTTCAACCATTTAAAGCCAAATAGGAAATGTAATTGGCTATATCACCTGAGGACATGAAGTGGGACAAAATACTGGCTTTTACATATTTTCTACTTCTTCACTTGCTCAAAAGTGCAACTATATGATATTGTCGAGGTGATACCAGGTGTCCTTTGATTCTGCACCAGATGGAGGTTTACTCAAATACACCTTCAATAATCTTATCAATGCTTCCAAGATATAAAAAACAACAAAAAAAGTCTAATTAGACATCTAGTAACTGCCCATGCGATGATCGCTAGACACTGGTGTAAACCCATAACTCCCTAACTAGCTGCATGGGCATGCAAAATGGAAAACATTAACCATATCAAATGTATGGTTGCTTGGAACGAGGACAAAATGGAGTCATACAGGCTCATGTGGACAGTGTTTTCTCATTTTCGTTATTCCGCAGATTTTAAACCCTTTATATCCTGCAGTCTGGATGGTCTGACTGGTTAGCTTGCCCCATTACTGCACTGCTTAAGATAGACCGCTCCGCCATGCATGCCATGAGTATGAGCCTCCTTTGGCATGTCTATCTGTGAGGACATATGTGCCTGTATACTGGAGTGCAGGGGCTATGGAATACAAAAGAAGAGGAACTCCCCCCCCCCCCCCCCCCTTAACTCTTTTCCCACCCTTTTATTTTGCTTGTTTGCCCCTGCTTGTATCTCTTGTTTTGGTTCTCTTTCTGTTATCTTTCCTTCATATGCTATAGGCTTAGAATACCTAGTCATGGGCTTGTGGATGCCACCTACTTAGGCCATTTGAGTGCCCTTTTGATAGGCAGAACATAATGACGTATACTTAGTTGCTCCTTGGCCCACTATTTAACGTTGTTCTACCTTTGATTATATTAGTCCTAAGTGATCACTGCTTGCGATAATTTGTGAGTGGTCAAGTGTTCTTACTGTTTGCATCTTTGGATGGATATATCATAAGCACATTGACCTGCTACTTATATATTGTGCATTGTTAAACTATTTCAATAAAAAAGATTAAACTAAAAAGTTTCAAATATGAACAGATAATATCGACTGCATGCAAATGTATGTGCTAATGTGTATTTTGACAGCGTAGCTCATTTTACACTAAATGTACCAGGGGTGTAATGCAAATTACAGTTTATCTGCAATTGCTATTTTTTTAGGTTATTACTAAACTACAAAACGCAAAACTAACTTATCAGCAGAAACATGTGTAGTTCTGTTTGACTACTTCTGTAATCCAGGTACCTCTGCTATAAACCTTAGCTAGGCTGATGATGTCCATTTTTTTCCCCTCTGCAGCTGAATTTATACAGCTACCCCCACAGGTTGTGATTGGACAATGAAGGAGCAGCACATAGATGAAAATAGATAAGGTAATCCACCTGCTCTCCCTTCCTGTAAATATCTTCAGGTAGATAACTGACAGCAATGTCCAGTGAAAACCAGATTGCCGCCCCTCCCTCCCCCAGGCTGAACCCTACTTTTCAAAGTAACAAGAGGCTACTATCCAGACAAATCCCAGGTACTTTATACTACGTAAAATGTTTAATAACATGTTAATGAATACATAACAGAATTAAATGCAGATTTTATCACATCTGCCTGGAGCGTAATCTTGAATATGAAGAACAATAATTAACATTCTTTAAATCAGACAGACTAGACTAACTGGCCTCTTTTTCACTTTCTGTCCATTCCACTAAACTAATGGATTGGATAATAACACTTTTCTCTGATTACTTTTGCAAGTAATAAATAGGAAAGGGAAGGAGGTCACTATTAACACATTTTTCTGGTATTAACAACATGTTAAGCCTTCTAGAGGATAAAATACATTCCTTATTTTATCAGCTCATCTCTGTGGCACCTGAGTTAATCACAATCATGTTTTTTAAAAATAGAAAATAGAACAGACACGCCTTGCATTTCTACCTAATCACACTGTGGCATATGCTTATTACAAAAAAAAGTATTCAATTGTATTCCTCAAACAAAAAGGAAATGAATCCATTATCAAGGCCTTTGCAAATGCAGGTTACCCTTTAAAAATAGCAGTGACATTGTCACTGTTCTGTATATAGCCTGTTCAAAGAGCAGAGCTTGTTGGAGGAGGCTCAGCAGACCTCACTCATTACAGGTTGCCTTCAGAACACTACAGGAGGGGCAGAGACAAGACCAGTCACCCTGCACAAGGACAGAGAGCAGTAGTGAGCGGTCTTTCTTACAGAAAATACCTGTAGAGGGGCAAAGTTTTACACTGAATTATTGCACTTACGTGGAAGAAATACACAAACCACACCAAGATTCAAGTAACAATATACATGCCTCTTGTATTTAGACAAGATTTGCATATCCTGGAGTTCAGTTTTACGTTGATGTTAAAATGACGATAAAATGGTTCTGTTCTAATCGGTTTAAACTCACCAATTGCTCCAACCAGGCACATTGTCAACAAAAGGAGAACACACCACAATATATCTGAGTTAAGCTGTCTCTCCAGTCTACTGCGCTTGTATCTTGGTCCGCTGTTATTTAGCATTGTTTTTGTCTCATGTCCTTATACAAAACAAAAAACAACCGTTACCTTCATGCACCTTAAGTAGTTTTGCAATTTTAAGAGAGGACTAAAAAATATCAACATTCATACACTCTCTCTGTACTGTATACACTTCAATTCAACATGATTCAACAGTGTCACTTAATGCAGATTCTCCCGATTAGGGATGAGCTTGGGTTCGGTTTAAATCCAGAAGTTATCTGTCATTGCTGGGCCAATGAACCTGTGGGCTGGTGATGCCCTACCCCGCAACTGCGCACACACACACACACAAGGGCAGGCATGCTCATAACATCATAGACCTATGATGGCCAATGACCATGATCTAATATGGCCATATGCCCATATTTGAGAAGCTATTCTGGCTATACTTCTCCTATGGATTACAGGAGTGCACATCGTTCTTTGATGCTGCATCCACCTACGTGAGTATTTGTGTATGTTTTTTTTTAAACCCAAATCTTTCTTTTAATGAAGTGAAAAGCATTCCCGCCTCTTTGTGTACGACAGCTGTGAGGTGGGAATTTGATTGGCCCAGCAATGACAGCCAACGTCCAGGTTTAGACCAAATTCAAGCCCGATCCCAAGCTCGCCACTACTCATGACAATACATTGCAACCAATCCTGACCAACCAATATCACATACACACACCTACATATTCCTTCCAAAGCTTTTCATTTGGTCAACACCTGTACTCTGTTTAGCGAACGTCATTCAGTACTAAATGTAAAATTCAGCAGGCAACCATGTAGACAGTGTAGTATACATAAGTACAGAGTTGGTATGCTGGAAGGAAGGATATGAGACATGGTGTTATAGGCAGTTCACCATAAAAACTGGCTTTCATTTCTCAAACAATATACTCCACATGGAATGCTAGCTGATCCCCATGGACCCGAAAAACATAAAAGAAACATGCCCGGATGCCACCCATAATTGTTAGAACAAGAAAATGTGTCAGGGTACAAACCTGCATATACTACAATACCAATGACAGCTTCTGTATTCCTCACAACGCATCCTCTCAGTAAAAGGTTTTCTTTATTCAGTCCGATTTTTTCCTTGTCTGAATGTGGCCTTTCACTATCAGGAAGATAATTTAAAGTACATTTACTTCAAAGAACGTGAAGGACATACAGTGAAGGAAATAAGTATTTGATCCCCTGTTGATCTTGAATGTTTGCCCACTCACAAAGAAATTATTAGTCTAAAAATTGAATGGTAGGTGTATTGTAGATCCTCATAGGAGACAGATTTTCATGCTACACTGGTCTTCAGGGCGGACTGTGAGAGGAGCCTAGCTCCGCGGGCCGGATTAAAAGGTCCGCCGGGCCGTATACGGCCCGCGGGCCGTAGTTTGCCCATTGCTGCTTTAGAGCATAACTAAAGGTTTAATACCTGTTCAATGGTCCTACACCAGCATATGCTTCTTTGCTCCAGTCTTCCAGCCTCTTGGTCAGCATGGGATGGCATCACTCCTGCGCATAATCCTGACACTTAGCGACCGGCCTGGCACTGTAAACCGAGCTGTGCATGTGCAGCTCAGTTTACAGTGCCAGAGAAGACGGTGAGCGAGCAAGTAGGGGCATTTTATTGCAGAAGAGACAGTTCTGCTTTGAAGTGTTTGAAGAAAAGTATGTACAAATTCGGTATTTCATGTAAGCAAAAACGAAAGCGTTTACATGCTACTCCCCAAGTTGAAAGCTACAGAATGAAAAAAAAAAAAAAAAAAAAAAAACAAAAAACACAACCACACGACATGATGGGCCTTCGGAATCTAAGTTCCATGACCCCGACCTGTATAGCACCCTGTAAAAAACTGAGGACTTACAAAATGGGGTAGGGTTTTAGGAGATGCGCTTGGGGTCTATGAATACTAAGTATGCAGCATACAAATTCAATAAATATTAGGGATGCACCGATACCCTTTCTGATCAGCAACTATGAGTTCTGATACTTTCAGTTAAGTACTCACCAATACCGAGTACCAAATATTTCCACCGCAAAGAATAGCATACAATTTGAACAGGAATGCCTGTAACCTCTCTAACACCCCTTTTCCTCTCTCTGATCACAACTTTATCAGCTTCACACTCTCCCTGCCTCCTACCTCCCATGCCTCCATCCAGCAAACAGTTACCTGTAGAAACCTCCATTACCTCAGCCCTGACCTTCTCCACTCCACTACTGAGCGCCTCTGATTAAATTGCACCCCTGTCCTGCCCAGAGCTGGCCACATCTGCCTACAACTATCTATCATCCTCCCTGGACGCTCTTTCTCCTCTTTCTACACGCAGAACCAGGCCTCGCCTGTCACAACCCTGGCAGACAGATGACACCAGAAGTCTCAAGAGACGCAGCCACACTCTTGAGCGAGCATGGCGTAAAACTAAATCCCTGAAAGACTTTACCCTCTACAAATCCGCTCTTCTCAAATACAACTCCAGCCTCCATGCTGCTAAGCAAACCTACTATAACACTCTCATCAAAACCCTCTCATCCAATCCTCGTCAACTCTTCTCTACCCTTAATTCCTTACTCCTTCCCCCACTGCCTCCACCCACCAACTTACTTACTGCACAGCAGACTGCCAGTCACTTCAAGAAGACGACCAACACAATTCGTGATGAGATCTCCAGTGTCAAGCTTCCTCCTCTAACCAACATACAAGGCACAACACCAAACTCAACACTCTCCTCCTTCGACCCTGTTACCACCAAGGAAGTTACCGATATCCTTTTCAAGGCCCACTTCACCACCTGTCCCCTGGACCCTGTCCCCTCACGACTGTTGCAACCTCCTTCCGCCTCTATCCTAAACTCTCTAACCCACATCTTCAACCTCTCACTCTTCATGGGCACCTTTCCCTCCCCACTTAAACATGCACTAGTTATCCCCATACTCAAAAAACCCTTGCTGGACCCCACCTGTTTGAATAACTTAAGACCCATCTCCCTGCTCCCGTTTGCCTCCAAGCTTCTCGAGCGCCTTGTTCACAACCGTATGAACTGCTACCTCAACGACAACAACCTTCTTGATCCCCGACAGTCTGGCTTACGCCCACAACATTCCACAGAAACTGCCCTACTAAAACTCACTAATGACCTACTAACTGCTAAAACCAACGGCCATTACTCCATATTCATACTCCTTGACCTTTCCACTGCCTTTGACACAGTCGACCACCCACTCCTCCTCAGTCAACTCCACTCCATCGGGCTCCGTGACTCTGCTCTCTCCTGGTTCTCCTCTTACCTTTTTCAGCGCACTTTCAGTGTCACATACAACTCCTCCTCCTCTGCTCCTCTTCCTGTTGGGGTACCCCAAGGTTCTGTTCTTGGGCCCCTCCTTTTCTCTCTCTATACTTCCTCCCTGGGCCAACTGATAACCTCCCATGGCTTCCAATACCACCTCTATGCTGATGACACCCAGATCTATCTCTCCACTCCATCTCACCCCAGCTCACCCCTTCAATCTCCTCACGTATCTCAAATCTACTAAGTGACATATCAGCATGGATGTCACATCACTACCTTAAACTCAATCTTTCCAAAACTGAGCTAGTAATATTTCCTCCTCCCCGATCCCCCACTCATGACTTTACCATTAAGATCAACAGCACAACCATTGGTCCTTCCCTTCATGCCAGGATGCTAGGCGTAATCCTAGACTCTGACCTCTCCTTTGGGCCCCACATCAACTCACTGGCTAAATCCTGCCGCCTTAACCTCCGGAACATATCCAAAATCCACCCCTTCCTGACCAAAGACACCACAAAACAACTTATCCACGCCTTGGTTATATCCCGCCTCGATTACTGCAAATCCCTCCTCACTGGTCTACCGTTACACAGGCTATCCCCACTTCAGTCTATTATGAATGCTGCTGCTAGACTCATACACCTTACCAACCGATCAGCAACTGCTGCCCCTCTCTGCCAATCCCCCCACTGGCTTCCACTAACCCAACATGTAAAATTCAAAATACTAACTACAGCTTACAAAGCCATCCACAACACTGCCCCTAGCTACATCGCCAACCTCATCCACAGATACAGCCCAAATCGCCCACTCCGCTCCTCCCATGATATCCTCCTCTCTAGCTCTTTCATCACCTCCTCCCACGCTCGCCTCCAGGACTTCTCCAAAGCCTCTCCCATCCTCTGGAACTCCCTACCACAGCATGTCCGGTCAGCCCCCACCGTCTGCCTTTAGGCGATCTTTGAAAACTCATTTCTTCAGGGAAGCCTACCCCACCTCCACCTAAGAACTGTACTTGAATCACCTCCACCAGATCATCCCCCACAGTTATCACCTTTTGTATCACCTCCCCCTTCCTTTAGATTGTAAGCTCCACAAGCAGGGCCCTCACATTCCTTCTGTACTGAAACTATTGTAATTGTACTGTCTCTCTTATATTGTAAAGTGCTGCGCAAACTGTTGGCGCTATATAAATACTTTATAATAATAATAATAATGTAATTCCTGCACTTGTCATAGCCCAAGTTCACACAAGAGCCGTGTGGGAAATCTCCCTGCCCCAATCACATGCTGTCACAGAAGGAAAAGCTGGGCTCTCTATCCTCTCCTTGCAGGGATGACAGTACGGGCTTGACAGCTTCTGACTGGTCAGCACCATGGTGGTGCTGACCAATCAAAAGCCAACTAGCCTGTACGGTCATCCCTGTACTGAGAGTAAGGAAAACCACAGGGGGTTCACACAGGAGCAGTGGGGAAACTGCAAGTGATTTAAACAAGTAATGCATTCTTGTTCAAATCACGTTATTCTTTGCACTGCAATTTGCATCAACACATTTTGTATTGATGCAAATCGCACAACAAAGTATCAGTTTGAGGTATCCGGAGCACTGGTGAAAATACTTGGTATCTTTGGATCCTTAATAAATATGGTCCTCCTTTTTATATAGTAAATAATCTACATTGTACAAGTACTTACAGGAATCCCTTGAACCTGCCAATGTCACTGTTGGGCATTTCACACTGTATTCTGCTTGAAAACTTCTCAGGCTCAAACTCACAATCCTAAAACAAAAAACAAAAAGGTAATCCTGTTATTTTTTCACATGAGAAAAAAAAAAAAGCGTTTTTTTTTCTTACATTTACTTTATTTAAAAGTAAATGGCACAGGATTCTGATAATTTAAACCTATAACCAAACATATTTCTTTCAGTTTTGGGTGGAGGGTAAAGACAAATTCCTGTCCAAATTAAAATGTAGCCCTGAAATACATACAAGGAAATACTGCTTCACCTCCCAAAGACTCTTGGAATGTATGATATAATTTGCCTAGGGGTGAAATCCAGGAAGTAACTGAAGAAATGTAAAAAAAAAAAAAAAAAAAAAAAAAAAGGTTAACACAACTGAATATGATATTCTCTCCTATCGATTTACTAATGCTAGCAACATAAGGATTAAAAATAGTCAATATTGTTGAGAGAGTGAAGTTTCACTTTAAGTGTCTGTAATGCAGGAGAGTCATTCTAAAAAATACCCACCCTGTAAGCCCTTTGTAGTCTCTCAATACAGAAAACCTGATATAGTGTTCCTGTACAAAAGAGGAATTACTTAATCAAAGTCAGATTCAAACCTGCCTTGGAAGATGCTGATGACACATCAAGCCATGAAAAAAAGAATGTTACACCATAGAGGCCGCAGGAAACAGACACATCTACACTTTATGAAGGAGCTCTCTGGACTGATTATCACACAGAAATCAAATTAAAGCCCGATTACATATAAATAAATGAATGTGTATAAATTCTTTGGATTCAATAACATGTTTAAATGTATTATGCATAAATCTATATCTAGATCATCTCCCTAATTCCCTGTACAGCAGTCCTCACACTGACAGAGGGAGAAGCAGCACTACAGGCCAGTCAGGCTCTGCTGTATTAAGGAACGCTGCCCATTTAACACTGGAAGCTTCCATACAGGATGAGGGAGCAAAGGAATGACATTATCGTTATAACAAAAAGCCTTTGCTACCCAATTTCAGGGTGAGGCAATTCTTCATTTTGTAGCGGATTGCAAGAAATTTAGTTTCACGTAACTCAAGTAAACTTTGACTTTAAGTGTTACTAAACCCACAACAGTAAAATCAGTCTGTATATGCAGTAAAGCAGGCTCATTATATTCACGGTGGAACCTAAGGGGTTAATCTTCTGCACTGCGTAAAAAGGCTGTTTGATCCGGTCTTCTCTGCCTCTCCTCTTGTTCAAATGTTCACATCTTATCTCCTGATAAGACAGACTGAACCCGTAGCCATTCTGCACATGCTCAGTTTAGTGTGTATTGTTGAGTTGTTGTTTTTTTCTTGGGAGAGTGCATGTCACAAGACTGCTCTAACAGCTCATGAGAAAAGGTATTTAACAGTTTATATTTACTAAAATAATTGCACTTCCATGTTCTGTGTACTGTGGGAGACCAGATATAGTGAATGAAGGGTCCTGGGTTTAGTATCACACATTTAGCACAGTTGCAGCGATGTCTGGACAACAGTAGCTCACTTATTGATTTTAATCAGTTTCTCTGGAATGCTCCAAGTAACAAAACTGGTCAGCACTTGCTGTATCCTTGCGTAGATTATACTTAGAGGGATAGAAAATGAAGTTCAACCAGATTGCAGTAAAAACCCAACAAACAATTGTATCTGTACTTATCCAAAGCTAGGAAAAAAAAAAGGTTTTATTTTTAGTGGACTTACATTTACAGTTCACATGTCAATAGGCTGATTTCTCAGTGATGCTGTAGGCTTCTACATTCCTTCTACCTGTTGAACTATTATAGGTCAATCAGCCAGTGCTGAAAGTCGCAGGGTCAATCACATGGCTAACCTTTATGTGTATCCAAAACCCATACTATTCATCTTCATCTCATAGTAAGCCAAAATGTGACTGCCTCAAAGTCATTATTACTCACTAGCTGTAGTCTTTTTTTTTGGCCATGGTATATAGCTGTCCTGGGATCTGAAGTGGTTTCCTTGAGCTTTTTGTCCATTCCTGTCCCTGGGTTTCAGAATTCTCTCTATGTACAATTTTTTCCTACATTTGTTATCACCCATAACTTTTGGGCAATTAAATCTGTACCAACAATCTGATTTCATGAAATGGCAAATCCTAGCCTAGTCAGCTGCTGTGATACTGCATGGACACAGCAAACATCACACATACTCCAAACATCAGTTACAGTGCAAGTCCTAAAGAATAAAAATAAGAACGCAGCACAAAAAAAAAAAAAAAAAAGCATTTAAGGGCTCATGCACACTGAGTCAGAGGCCCAACTGGCTTTTGCAAGAACTGTCACTTCTGAACTTGGAGTAGTGCGGATTTGTGTGCAGACAGCTGGTATTACAGGCCTGCATTGATGGGAGCATGGTTCCAAATCAACCAATCATCTTCAGCTTGTTCAGTTAAACTCTGAAAATATATCCTCACTGGTTTCCATGCACAACTGCTCCACATTCTGTCTGCTACAGTTTTGATAAAATGTCCCCCATTGTTAGTTGGGGGCCAGGCACCTGTCCCAGCATGTCTGGCAATCTCAGATGTGCAGGTGAGTCTCCATTGACTAACACAGTCTGCCTGCACACCACTCCAGATGCACAAGTGAAGCCCTAAATTCAACTATTTTTTTCTCTGTTGAAGAATGATTCCAGGCATGACTATATTATATATAATAACTCTATTCCAGCTTGGACTAATAATAATAATAAAAAACATTTTATATAATGCCTTTAAAGGTAGCTTCTCAAAAGAGCTTTACAAAGAAAATACAAGAAATACACGGTATAAATGTAACTATGTATATGCCATACCTGGCTGATGCCCCTATAAGCTGGAAACCACCGAAGTAGACACCACTACCTCAGCAATCTCCAATTACTTCTGGGTCCCACAACAAGCAGCTGGCCTGATGCATTCTAAACATAGGAATCAGCTGCTCGGCACAGGCACCATTCAGAGAATGCCTTGTATTTTCTGAATGAATGCAAAGTGTTCTTTGACACCACCACCCTGAGAGACAGGGTGGTGATGTCATGCACTCCACCTCATCCACTCAAAGAACGCTTTGCATTCAATCAGAAAATGCAAGGCATTCTCTGAATGGCGACTATACTGAGCGACCAACCTCTTGTGTTCAGAATGCATCGAGGCTGGCCGCTCAGCACGAGACCAGGATGCAAGTGGAGATCACTGGAGGAGTGACGTCTACTTCAGTGATTTCCAGGGGCATCAGCCAAGTACAGGATATACATGGATACATTGATACAAGCTGGAATAACGTAACTGTGTATAATATAGCAGTACCTGGAATCCTTCTGTAAATGAACAGTCAATAGCTATATAAAGTATTTATCGAACAATAAGCACCTTTGAATATTGAAAAATCGCTGGACCGGATATGCAGAGCTCAGTAAGGTACAACAATCAATCATAAACATAAACAGATGAATGGGTTAGACAAAACAAGCGTAGAAATTACCATGACACTTCCTTTCACCACCTGCCTCTGTTTCAGGTTTGTTTCTCCATCAAGGCTCGATGTCTCTATATGACAAATCCCATCGGGATCTGAGGAGTGTAGCAGCACCATGTCAGCAGGGATAACCTCGTCACAATGGAGCTTGACAAAATTCCCCACCTTAACATCTTTCCAGTAGCACTCTACATATTTCTTCTCCTTCCTGAGAGAAAGAAAAATCCAAAATATAATGAAATTTCAGGCCTGAGGGAGCCAAGTAAAGTAAAATTTAAACCCACAACAGAATAGCATTTGGTTTTCTAAATCACAAAGAAGAAAAAAAAAAAGAAAAAAAAAAAAAAAAAAAGGTTTCCTCCTGCAAGGCAATATCATAATGCACCGCATGCTAGCACATTATCAAAGACTTACCTTGAAACGAAGCCCTCCATGCAGTGCTGTCAATGTGCAGAGGGTTCCATCTTTACCTGGTCTTCCCTCCAGGTCCGAGGCTGCAGCCGCTTGAATCGCCGAGCCGCAATGACGTCACTCCGCACATGCGTGGGAGTCTAGGCCACCGCACACAGCTCTGCAGGAATGACACAAGTATGCCATTCCTTCAGAGCGCATGTGCCAGTGATGTCATCGGCTGACGCTCACTAGAATATCTCCTCAACTGTGATTGTTTAGGTGATATTCATTTTACCTTCAGGTAAAGCTTTATTATAAGCTTACCTGTAGGTAAAAATCAAAATGCGGAGTTTACTACCACTTTAAAAAAAACAAAAAAAAACAAACAGGTTTATTCTTACCTGCTCTGTACAATGGAATTGCACAGAGCAGCCCCGAACCTCCTCTTCTCTGGTTCCCTGCTGGTGTTCCTGGATCCTTCCCTCCGCAGAGTGCCCCCATAGAAAGCAGCTTTCCATGGGGGCATTCACACAGGCTCAATCTTGAGCCTCACTGACTGCGTCTATTGCAAAATATGTGCATTTATTTTAATCGGTGAACTTGGCCTTTAAACTAAAGCTTATGCTGCTTATGTATTGCCTTCCACAGTTCCTGCCTCCCCCCTCATCAACCTGCTAAAAAAGTAAAACAAAACCTATCCATTTTCATTGCATAGATTTTTAGACCCACTGGGTCTCTGTGCTTCTCTAGGCAATGCAAGCAGATTATGACCACTAATAGAGGCTTGCAGTATATCATTTTCTGAAAACATCACAACACCCTGCTTCAGTACCCCTCTCAAGAGTTCTTAGCTCTGATGCAAGCAACGGCCTGGCCCCTGAGAGGAGTTATGGAAATACCAAAAATGTCTTGATGGGTGGATGTCAGTCTGCAGGAGTGGGCATTTCTATTCAGACTGTATTTGCATGAAGACAGCTCTATGTAGCGCTCACATATGATGCTAAGCCTCCATGGTTAAAAGAACTGAAATACAAGAAAGAAAGAGGAAGGCCAGGGACAGTCAGGCTGGAGAGGAAAGGGCTAGACAAGCCAGTCATAAAATGAGGTGGGCTACATATGACTTGCTGCAGATTCTAAGCTCACAGTGTGCAGTGCAATCACATTAAGCAATCTCAGTACAGGAAAGAAGTCTGTACAACTGTACAAGACTGCGGGGAAGGATGGAGTTCAGTTTCAGCTCCTAGTAAGCAGAGGCTGAAGAAGGGTTTAGCACTCACAATAGCTATACTACAGGTCACTAAAGAATGAAAGGGGCTTCTAACATTTCTGAAACAAACTGTATTCAGCTATTGGAAAGGTCTTGAAGCAAACGCCAACCCCACAACCTCATGTCACACAGAGGTGAGCTCCTACCCAGGGAGGCCTTCATGGACGGTTTACTCTGTACTTGTGTTCTCCTTCTACTCAATTTACTTAACCAGCTCAGCAGAATAATGAACGTGTCATCAGAGACTCTGAACAAACTGCTCACATCAGCATCTGGAAGAGCCGGCAAGAGCAACTAATCAGCCATCGCAGGATAACCTGGCTCCTCCAAAAGAATAAACAGACAATGCACCTTGGACAGAATTTTAAGGATTCTATTCAAACAAGATAAGAGACGCTAAACTCTGGTTTAAAAGAAGAAAAAAATTCTACTCTAGTATGTATTAACTCAAAGTCCCTTTTATTGTTCACAGCCTCCTCCAAATTCTTTTTCTTTGCAGTTTTTCCGACTTCCAGTTAGAAGGTGGCTACGTCCATTCTCTATGGTCCCACTGTAGGAATGTAGCCCACCCTCAGCTGCTTGCTCCTGAGATGGACTATGCCCTATGGCAGGGGTGCTCAACCATGCACCAAACCTGCAGCGCATTGGTGTGAAGAGTTCCGTAGGGTTTAAAGGGATACATTTTTCATACATTTTTATTCTGCTTTTTAAGCACCAAAAGCGTATCAAAAACTGATCAATGTGAAAAAGGCTCGTTTGAAGGAAACCATTCCACCTTCCAGGGCAAACCAATGTAGAAACTGCAATCAACATACCTACAGTACACCTGAGTCAACAAATGGTTGATGACCTTGTCCAGCTTATACTTTCTATAGTCTTCCAGTCCATCTTTGATAGCGATGATGGTGAGGACGGCGAGCAGGGGGAGCATAGTGATCTCCTTCTGGAAAGCTTCCACCAGTGGCACCCAGTTCAAGAAGACCAGAAAAAGGAAGTACAGGTTGGCTGCTCTGAAACAAAAAAATAAAAAATTGGGAACATTCTATTTTCTCAGTAAATGTGTATATACGTAGGTTTGCTAAAATACTGAAAATCAAACTGTAAGTCAAGCTAAAAGGAATAATTGAAGGTACATAGGTGGTGCTTACAATCACATTTTCAAGTCTGCAGGAGTCTCATGGTACCACAAAAGCCAAAAAAGGTCTAACCTGCAAATCTTCACAACACTTCCAGTAGTTGCAAAGACTGGCCAGCCCCCTGTTACGACTTTATAAAGACGTGCTGATAAGAATTAGGTCCTGTTCAGACTGGCATTAAAAGCAGGCATTTAAGGAGGGTTTTTAACAGTCCTCAAATGCTTAGTAAAGCTATCTGTATCGATAATATGAACAGTGCACAGAGCTGTTCACGTTATCAAAACATGAAGTCTTTGCATTGTGTTGTGGCATTTCAAAAACTGAAGGTACATGTCAAGGATGGAGAGAGTTGAAGCATCTCAATTTTCTTCCATTCAAGTGTTTGGTAAAGAAACCAGCACACATTTGCGGCGGGTTAGGCCATGTTCACACACACAAAAAAAAAAAAAAAGTAGGCGTCTGGGGTGCATTTTAACATGCTTTTAGCACCTGTCAAACACTTATAGGGTGTTTGGGGAGTGTTTGACATTTGTGTCAAATGTGCCAAGCAACGCGTATTAAAGCTATAGGCCTGTTTGTTCAGCATCAGTATAAAGTGTAAACAGGGCTATATCCATTTTTCAGGCAGGGATTCTTTAGACATCTGCCTTTCAATCTAATTGCTCATCTTCCAATGTAATTTTCATCACAGGTTTACATTAATGCTGAATTCCAGGAAGTGGGGCTGCGCCACGACAAATAACTGCTTGCTTATGACTAGATGGAGGAGTACAGCAGTTTTAATTTCCCGATACCCCACTTCTGCAGGCTCCTCTGCGCTGCTGGAAATGTCCCCCTGTAGCCTCTTCCCCCTAAACTCTGGACCTCCAAGGTCCTCTGACATCAGCAAGCACCATGCATAGCCCTGCATTGGATGCACTGATGCAGGGGGAAAATCCACTGTCCGAGATGCCATTTGCTGGAGGGGCAGAAGATCAGTTAAACCAGTAGTAAACTATTTGGAAAAAAAGAAAAAAAAAAAGTTTCCCCCTGCAAGGCAAAAGCATAATGTGCAAGTATGCATCACATACTATCACATTATGAAGGACTTGCCTGAAAATGAAGCCTTCCAGCGGCACCCTGTCACCACTGCAGAGGCTTCATCAGGCCTCCCGTACTGGTTCGTGGGCTGTGGCCGATTGAATGGGCGAGCCGTGATAATGCCACTCCCGCACATGTGCGCAGGAGTCTCAGCCACAGCACACAGCTCTGAAGATACGGCACGCCTTTCCTTCAGAGCGCATGCTCTAGTGATGTCCCCGGCTGCTCGCCAGAATCTCTCTTAAACGGTGTACATTTAGGAGATAATCATTTTTGATACTTTATTAGAAGCTTACCTGCAGGAAGAAATAAACAAGACTTTACTACCACTTCAAAGAGTAACTGAAGGCAAAACTTTTATTTCTTAGTTTTGGATAGAGGGGAGGTGGATTCGAACCTCTGTCAGTTTTTATTGCAGTCTGTGTCCCCTGTTAAGGAGATTCACCCTCTCTATTTGCCCTGGTTACCATTAGCATTGAAAGTGGACGTAAAAGAAAATCCCACATTTTGGGTTGTCCCTAGTAAAGTAATAAGAGGGGAAATCTTCCAATGGGGACACTAGTTCTAGTGACCTGGGGGTCTCCAAGAGAATTCCTTAATTTACGGAGATTTCCTCCCACTTCCTGATTGGCTATGGGCCATGAAGTAAAGGGAAACCTCTGCAATGGGACTCAGATGGCAAAAATAAACATTACATGGGTTATAACCCTTCCTTATTCTGTCTAATAAAGTGCAGTTGAGGCTTGCAGTGTTGGTGGAGCCCCCCTGCAAGGGAGGACCTTTGTTTTCCTGGAGTTGGGCTTCAAAGAAGTGTTGTATGATATGAAAAAAACAAAAATCTAGCATCAGGTATCCCAAAGCTACCATGCTTTTAGTAAATAAATACTTCCACTCATGCATTCTGGATGCTGCTGGCATGGTTTCAGCCTCCTCTGCCTGCTGCTTACATAATGGCCACCGGCTGTGTACGAGCTGCAGAAAAGACGGTAAGTGTCTCAGGATGACCAGAATTCTGCATAAGTCAGCTCATTGCAGACTTCCTGATGATTTATTCATTATACTATTTATACAGCTATCCTTTAAAGTAAATTATTATTATTATTTCAGGTACTTATATAACGCTGTCAATTTACGCATCGCTTTACATATATATATTGTACATTCACATCAGTCCCTAACCCTCAAGGGGCGTACAATCTAGGATCAAAAAGTTTCCCTCATAAGACAAAATGTAAAGCACGGTGGCTCATCATAAGGGGTGCAATCTAAGCGACTTATAATATCATTCTGTTGCAGGCAAAGTTAAAGTATTTTCTCAGCTGTTCCACCCAAAAGTATTAATCACTCAGACTGTACATTGTAACAAGGTGAGAGGCAACAACAGGGGGATGATCTGCGTAAGATAACATGAATAAACTGTTAACACAATCTGCATGACTATGTCGCCCCTAGGACAGCATCTTAGCTCAGTAAGTAGGTGCCAACCCTGGATAATGGCTGAACAAAGATGGTGCTGGTCTAAGGAGAAAGAAGGATGAAGACATTGTCAGGCAGAGTACTGTGATCTTTTTGAGGCACGATTAGAGATGGGAACAGAAAAATTAGGAAAAACACAGTTGCTTTTCTATTTTTTTTCAAAGCCATTTTTTGTTTTTTCCAGAAAAATTAAAAAAAAAAAAAAGAAATAAAAAGAAAAAAGGAGTTTAGAATATGTTATTTTACAATGCTAAAGAAAATATTTATGACATGGTAGTCACATTATAGAACATGAAGACCTTGATGAAAGATTTCTGACACTTTATGTACAGTTTTAAATTATTGCAAGTTCTCTCAGCTGAAGACAAGAAATCCTGTAATACAATTCAAGTAACACTGTACTACTGAATGCATTTCTGTCACTAGGGGGCACTGCAGGGGAAAGGTTCCAGTTTAGTTTGTTTGTGGGCTCCATCTTGTACCTCCTACAGTTGGGTGATTTTCGGGATATATTAGACTATAGTTTCTGTCCTTACCTCAGGCCTTAAATGACAGATGAGATACATTTGTATGAAAAATTAGTTTATCTTTATAGCCATTACATTATTCTCCACCATCACAGCATAATGTTTACCTATAGTCTGGTCAGTAAATTTATTTTTTCTTTACCTTCTCACAGTAAATTGGTGAGACCAACATTTAGAGTTTGGAAACAACACAGTGCAATTTCTGCTGAGAGCAAAGATACAATTTGCAAACAATGTGAGAAGAAATAGTCTTTTCCAAATGCTACAAGGATGATAGAATACACCCTTGCATGCCAGAGGTGTACTACAGACATTAACCTGTTCCCGCTCGGCCAATAACAGAATGACAGCCGAGCAGGACTGTTCTCGATCCAGGTGGGTATTATGACATCCTCCCCTGTGGTGAGATCTGTAACCAGCTGTGTGCCTCGAACACAGCTGATGACAGATCTGTCTACTGGCCCCTTACCAGTAGCATGTGACCTGCTCTGACCAATCACAGCAGGTCACATGATAAACAATGGATAGCTTCCTTTCATGCCATCCATTGTACACAATTGTGTCACTAGCTGTGATTGGTCACAATGATCACATGTAAAGACTGGGCCAATCACAGCCCATCTGTGTCATGTGATTAGCCATGGCCAAATCACAGCTAATCACAATAAAAAACCTGAATGAATCAAATCCTTGACTATAAGCAATCATAATGTGTAAAAATAATACTGATCACTTCCTCAAAGTAGCACAATGTTATGATGGCAAAATTACACTACTCTGGTCATAGTAGAATATGAAAAAAAAAAAAAAAAAGTCAGTGTTCCCTGATCACCACCAGACCAGTTATATAATGACGCTGTACTGCACTGGTGACCGTATGTTAAAAAAAAAAAAGAATAATTTGTGAAAATAATTTAAAATGTCATTTTCCAAACAATTCTGACAAAAAAATTACCTCAGACTGTCTACTTTGCAAAAAGGGGACATTTGGGGGATATCTGTACTGTTCTGACATTTCTGGGCCTCAAGAAATTAGATTGGCCGTCAGTACCTCAGGACTGATCAATTTTCAGATATACAGTATATCCCATAGTTTGTGAACGCTATAACTTTCCTACAGACTAAATATTAAATACTGATTTGGGTTATTTTCACCAAAGAAAAGTAGCAGAATACATATTGGCCTAAATTTATGAAGAACAGTTATTTATTTGCAAACTTTAGCAGAAAAAAAGAAAAACTTGTTTTTTTTTTAAATTTTTGGTCTTGTTTTGTCAATTTAGCAAAAAATAAACCCAAGCGTTGATTAAATACCCCAAAAAGAAAGCCCTAGTTGTGTGAACAAAAATGATAAATATATAGATTGGGTACAGCGTTAAATGATCGCGCAATTGTCATTCAAACTGTGAGAGCGTTGAAAGCTAAAAATGTGGCCTGGGCAGGAAGGGGGTAAAAGTGCTCGCTTATGAAGTGGTTAAAAAATACTTTATGGAAGTAAATGAGAACCAGAATGAAAGTGCTGCTTCTGGATCTTTACAAATTTAAAAAAAGCAAGTTTAGGTTATTTACTGAATAAGCTGTACTTTTATTTCAAGCATAACCTTTTATATACACTGCATTTCACATTTCTAATGTAACAACATGACTTTCTCAATTTGCAAAAGCTACACCACACTGAATGTATTACTTTTACATTTTTCTGAAAATCTCCCTTTTTCAAGCAAAAAAAAAAAAAAAAAAAGTTTTTTTTCTCATGGCTTTAACATTTCTGGAAACTTTACATCTCTGTAAGCAATACCTGCAAGTGTTCCACTTACACAGTATGTAGCATGCATATATTTATATCACACTGGGTTTTTTTTAACTAAAACTGAAGAGTGCAAAATCAGCTTCCAGGTTTTATTGTCAAAGCTTAATTGAACAAGCTGAGGTCAGAAGCTGATTGCATAGCATGCGCAGCTGCACCAGATTCTGAGTGCTCCAAGTTTAGTAAATTTACCCAACCGGATTCACTTGACCATACTGGCAGAAAACTATTTGGCTACGTTCACACTAGCTTTGTCAGCAGGCATCAGACAGGTGTTTGGGAAGCGTTTTTAACACTTCTTAAACGCCTATGAAAATTCTGCACATGGCAGCACACAGTGCTGTTCACACTGAAGCGTTAGCATTTCGATTCTAATCGAAAAATCGTTCAGAATTTGACCCATGTATGGCCTGCTTAACTCCCTGTTGCATCTCTGCTATCAGTCATGTGAGTTTTAAGGTTTTGTATCTATAAGGGCTCGTTCACACTTGACTTATTTCTAACTCTTGCCAAACGCCCCTATAGCGTTTGACAGGTGTTAGGCGTTTGAGGAGCGTTAAAAACGCTTCCCAAACAGTCCCCAAACGCCCTGTGCGCTTTTTTGAGGCTTTTGATAGGCGTTTGTCAAGCATTAAAACCACACCACAATCAAAAGCCTCAAAAAAGCACGCAGGGCGTTAAAAACGCTTCCCAAACGCCTAACACCTGTCAAACGCTATAGGGGCATTTGGCAAGAGTTAGAAATAAGTCAAGTGTGAACGAGCCCTTATAGATACAAAACCTTAGAACTCACATGACTGATAGCAGAGATGCAACAGGGAATTAAGCAGGCCATACATGGGTCGAATTCTGAACGATTTTTCGATTGAAAATATAGTTCGTTCTGTAATCCGATGGTGCCACCAATGATTTTGAAAAATCGGTAGATTTTCACGCATTTTCCAGCATACACGATAAACGAAATGGGGAGGAACCATGAAAATCGGCCAGTGCCATTGCCCCACTAAAAGAGCAAAAATCCCCCGATTATTCTTAGGTCCAATTTTCGAAAGAAAAATCGTTCGAAAATCGACCCATGTATGGCCGACCTTACTGGAAGGAAGGTGGAGTAGGGGAATTCTCCTCTTAGACAGGTGTCCCCATTAGAAGAGTTCTCTGCAAGTCTTGTTCTGTAGACAATTCTGAGATTTCCCCTCAAGTTGTTTTTCTTGCACTATGGTCATCTTTACAAATAGAGCATTGAATCTCCCCTAGGGCTCGTTCACACTTGACTGTTTTACCAACGCTTGCCAAACGCCCCTATAGCGTTTGGCAAGCGTTGGTCCGGCGTTTGTGGAGCGTTTTTTTACCGCTCGGCAAACACTCCGCAAACACCACATGCGCGGTTTACCGGCGGTTCCTAGGAGTTTGCCGAGCGTTAAAAACGCCTATAATGAAGTTTGAATGGTGTTACCGCTCCGCAAACGCCCCCGCAACCGCACACGCCGGCCGGGACTAGACTAGAATAGGAGGCTTCAACGCCTCCTGACTCGGCCAGAGGCGTCTGTTTTGCCGCGACGCTAACGCTCCCGTTAGAACAGCACCATGTGCTGCAATATGCAGAATTGTCAGAGGCATTCTGCCGCCTGCACACAACGCTAGCGTGAACGTAGCCAAGAGGGACACAGACTATAGTAAAAACCTGCAAAAGGGTCTAACCCTCCCTTACTCTAATCAAAATTTAAAAAAAAACAAAAAAACACATTTTGCCCAGAGATACGCTTTGAAGCATAACAAAATACATTTTTCTTTTCCTTTTGGATAGAGTGGAGGGGGATTAGAACACCTGTCAGATTTTTATTGCAGTGTCCCCATTAGGGAGATTCACCCTCTGTACCTGTCATGTTTGTCCTCTCAAGAAAGTGAAAGAAAATTAATATTTTTGGTATAATAGAATAGGAATACTAGTGCTAATACCGAGGCTAGAATCAGTTACGGTAAATCCCATGACCAGACAGCAGGGGCATGGGCTGCTGGGGCAGGCAGAGCAGTTCAGGATGGAGCCCACAAGTGTGCCACGATAGGAAGCAGTTTCCCACTGTGGCACATCGAAAAGAGGAAGAGCCAGGAACATCAGCAGGGGACCCGAGAAGAGGAGGTTCAGGGAACTCTGTGCAATGCCACTGCACAGAGCAGGCAAGTATAAACTGGTTATTACCCACTTGCTTACCGGGCACTTATACCCCCTTCCTGCCCAGGCCAATTTTCAGCTTTCAGCGCTGTCGCACTTTGCATGACAATTGCGTAGTCATGCAACATCGTACCCATATGAAATTTTTATCAGATTTTTTTCACACACATAGAGCTTTCTTTTTGTGGTATTTAAGCTCTACAGGGTTTTTTATTTTTTTGCACTTTAAACAAAAAAAAAGTCTGTCTTTGTTTCTATTACAAAATTTTGCAGACAGGTAATTTTTCTCCTTCAATGATGTGGTTGATGAGGCTGCATTGATAGGCAGCACTGATGAGGTAGCATGAACTGGTGAGGTAACACTGATGAGGTAGCACTGGTAGGCATTGATGAGGAGGCACTGATATGCAGTAATGATGGGCACTGATAGGCAGCACTGCCCGATGGCACTGACTGGCAGCACTGCTGGGGGGGCGCTGATGGGTGGCACTGCGATGAACAGGATCCCAATGAACAGGGCCGATCTGCTCTGTGACAGCTGCCGGTTATTGGCAGTACTTTCCTCATGCTGTGACAGTGTGAGGAAAGTGCTGCCGATAACCGGCAACTGTATTTACTCCGTGATCTGCTGTGTCATTGGACATAGCTGATCACATGGTAAAAGGCCGCTGTGATTGTTCTTTTACCTCATCACGTAATCAGCTGCGTCTGTAGGACACGGAGATCGTCGGGTGCGTGTCCCTGGGGGCAATGTCAGGCTAAGGAGGGGAGGGGGGGTTTGAGTGTACTAGCAGTTTTCAGTACGATAACTAATTGAAGCCAAACTCTAGCTCAGACTTTATAATCAGTCACAGAAAACAGTTTTTTTTTTCCTTTTGGTATGAAGGTTTTAAATGAATAAAAGATAATCATTTTATACAATCCTGTAAGGGGTAAATGGATGGTCTCATCCTGGAGAGCTTATGCTTCTGAAGAAAACAGACTTACTCGTCGGATCATCAGATGAAAATAAAAGAAAGCCAGTCTACAAAAAGAAAATGAATGCAGCCATCACGTCTAAGAATTGGTAAGCTGCAACATAAGAACTGTTTGCTTTCGGGTTTAATACTGCTTTATTTTCTTGACTAGCAAGCAAAGGCGCTTGTATAGTAACAAGTGGCTGTAAATATATTTAAGGCGACCATATTTGTTATTTGAGGTATCCATATTTGTCATTCTATCTGCAATGCTTACAGAGCTCTGATATTACAAATCCAGCAGCTTAACAAGTGTGTTAACTATAAAGCTGGCCGCCTTCCAAACATTCTGCCTGATGATCCAAAACGTATTATGTAAAGAGGCTCAGTCAGCAAAAAGTGACAATGACATTAGAAAGGTGTGGGCATGCACCAGGTTCTATACAAGTAGCAGAATACTTTCCATACATAAGGAATGGCATTTCCAATATACATTAAATACAATACAGATGTGACAATCATTGGCCTGCTCATGAAACATGAAGCAGAGGAAAGAATAAAAAAATAGAGGAATACACAGGAACTTTGTATGCAGTAACTGCTGAACAAACAGGCTGTGCAGGAACCTACCTGTGGAATTGTTCGAATAGGTTCCGTGGTATGAAGTTCAGTAGAGTGTAATTAGTGGTTCGGATCTTGTTGTTCTTATAGCCTTTAGTTAGCTTTTCATACTCATCCCTGAACTGATCCAGGTATGGGACAACAACCCTATGTTTAGGAGTGGCGCTCCCCGTGTCGGTATTTCTGCAGAAGTTTAGGCATGATTGTGGCACTGAGGCACACCTCTGGGTTTCATTGCTGCTGTTTCTCTGTTTGTGCGACTTGCTGCCATCTGTGACGGGCCCATTGGATGGGTCTTGCCATATCGATCCAACTTGTGGTTTATGTCTTCTTTAGTCTAGCAGGAGAAAGGTCAAAAGATTGTTTGCAAGGACTGTATATAGTCAATAATAGTTCAATTACATTGTGTGCATTAGCCTGGAAGGGCTAAGAGGGAAGACCACCCAGGGCTCTTAAAGCAGAACTAAACTCCCCTATAGAAAAGTTTTCCAAGGCACACCATGAATGATAACGGACATAGATGCTTATGTCATCAATTGAACTGTCAAGCCATCAAATGTCTGGTGTTATAATTGATCACGTGCAGCACCATGACAAATGCAGATCCAACAGAGAATAAGATGGTAGCTCCCTTGGCTGCAAAAGGATGGGAGGGGTTTAGTTCCCCTATAAAACCTTGGAACCCAACAATATATACCATTTGTCCCACACCAATCCATATCAAAGAGAGCAGGAGGTAGGGGAACTAGAGGTAAATTAGCTTTATGGAACAAACTAGGAAGTTTTTAGCACAAAAAAAAAAAAAAAAAGCCACCCCCCCCATGTCTTGTTAAACCTCTGCATATGCACAGGTGAACAGAAGTTGCAATTTGTTCATTAAAAAAATTAAAAAGCTATCCAGGAAAATAACCTGTTTGATTAGGGAGCCTCTTTGCATCAAGGTACCATCTGCTGGTGAAACCTGGAACTGCAATAAGACCATAAAATGCAAAAAGGTTAAAAGGATACGTTCACCTTTTGACCAAAAATATTAAACGCACTTAATATTTTTGGTTGCAGAAGCTTGTAAAGTATTGCCACTTTGTGTTGGTCTATCACATAAAATCCAAATAAAATACATTTACATTTTTAGTTGTAACATGACAGAATGTGAAATTTTTCAAGGGGTATGAATACTTTTTCAATTCACTGTAAGTATACACATCTTCTCTTTACAGGGTTGCATAGAATAGAAGGACATAATCCAGTCCCTGGATTTCATAGACACTCTTTAGAATTCGGTCTCTAGCCATTGTGACAAACAGTGCAATGTGTGACAATTCAGACATCCTCCCCCTGAACAATCTAATCAGTGCCCCCCCCCCCCCCCTGCACACAGACAGTAATGTCCTGCAGACTGATGGCTGCTCTGGCTGGGACTCCATCTGATCTGGACTCTGCAAGACTGGGAGATACAGTAAATCTTCACACTCTCTTCCCTTCCCCTCCAAACTCTGCCTTACCCTAGTTCCTATCCCCCACCCCCCTCCCTTTTGCACAAAAAAAGTAACACCTTTTTTTTTTTGTAAAGGCTTTTTTTTTTAACCTCCTGGTTACAGACTAAGCCAGAATTATGCCACCTTCTTCCCCCCCCCAGTGCATATATGCCAAAGAGTCCATGGCATGTGTGTGCGACATTTCGCAAGCTGCCTCTTAGGGTGTACGAGGTAGCCATCCCAAGACCCGTTTGCAAAATATTGCACATTTGCCCCGTTGTCTCAGCTACAGAACCACAGTGTGTCTGGGCATGTGCTGGTTCTCAATTAAAGAATGTGGCACAGGAAAAGAGGGGCACACGAAAAGCAGAACAATGCTGGACTTCAATACATGTACTCTTCGCTCCTCACAAGACCTCCTACTCTCCAGTTCCCAGGTCTCCTCCTCCCATGCCTGACTCCAGGACTTCTCCAGGTCTTTCCCCATCCTCTGGAACTCACTACCCCAATCCATCAGACTGTCACCTACCCTCCTCACCTTTAGGCGCACCCTGAAAACTCATCTCTTCAGGGAAGCCTACCCCGCCCTCACCTAACAGCCGATCTCCTCTACTCCTCCTACCACTCCATCCCCACAGCCATTTCCTCCTGTACCACTATCCCCTCCCTCCTAGATTGTAAGCTCCAAGGAGCAGGGCCCTCGAACCCCTCGTGTATTGTATTGTTACTGTACTGTCTCATGTACTGTCTCCCACTATAATGTAAAGCGCTGAGCAAACCTTTTGGCACTATATAAATATGGTATAATAATAATAATAGTCTTCAAGTTTTTTTTTTTTTTTTTTATTTTAAGCCAGGCACAACTGTTAGGACCCATTCATGTGGGTTTCATAACCACTCCTCTGAAAAGAAATCTGTGGTGACTCATTCTTTAGAGGGCATTAAACAGGTGGTGAAAGGCCAATATGATGTTTCCTCACTGTCTGTTCTAACCCTCAAACTGTTGTGCCATCACAATACACCCATGGTTGCAAGGGAGTTGTGGCATGGCTCATTCTTGTAAATGTTTCAATTATAATACAATAAAGTAATAATAATAATACATTTTATATACTTTTTTTAAATAAAATGTTACCCTGTTTAACCCTTACTTTACACCTTATGCTCCTTCTCCATTGTTTTCTGCTGATATTTTTTGTTTCTATTTTATTAACGATTAATATTTAAACTTAATTTTTTTTCATGATATTTTTGCACATTTACACATTGTGCATTAAAAAAAACAAGAAAAAAAAAAAAAAAAAAAAAAACACTTTCATTTGTAGATAACGTTGTAATGCTTGTACCAGAATCATAATTTTAGTGTTAGTTTAAACAGGATAAATTACAGATGAAATGCACACTTTTTGCCTGTCTGCAGTAACAAACACTATTTTTTACCTAAAGGTGCATTTTGTTTAGTTGTATTGCGTTTTATTGTCAAAGGATTGCGGAAAAAAAAAATTGTTCCCAGACAAGAAAGAGAATGACAAAGGTATCGCTGAATAAACAGGACCATAGCGCAGATGTTAAAATTGCTCTGGTCCATAGGGGGGTGAACAGGTGTGGGAGACGAAGTGATAGAAGGGGCCACACTGGCAATCAAGTATGGAAAAAACTTTATTGAATTCCGCTCAGTGTCTGAAATCTGTATTATAATTAGAGAGACACATTCCTGTTCTGTGAATATTGTTCATTAAAACATAATTAAATATACAGGGGAACTCATAAAGAATGTCGAAGACACGTGTTGGTTGTAAACAGGTACATGACTCTGGGGCACACAACGTAAATGAAGGCATACTCTGACCACATGGGCAGTGCAGTGAGTTGAGTGGGCGGAGCCTGACACTAGCCCCCGATCAGGTAAATAGGCAGTAGGTGAATCCATAGCCAATGGACAGCCTACCTTTGGCTAAAGAATCTGCCCAATGCCAATCACAAGGAGACAGCAGACCTGATGGGGAAGCTAGTATCTCAGCTTCCCCACCAAACTCCATCCAGACAGCATCATTTTTTACTAGAAGGTTGTCAGATCCAAAGCTGAGGGTGTCCTTCAGAGCCATTTCACACACCAAAATGCGCACATTTTTTCATGCTCTGTTTTTCATAGCCCATTCAATAGGCTGCCAAATGCGCAAAAAGTATGGCATGCGCAAATTTTAAAATTGAGCCTGCACCAAACTGCATGGTACTGCAGTACCATGCGTTTTGGTGGACACGTGTGCATTTGTTAGATGCATATGGGCTGCCATTAACAATTAATGGCACCTGTGCGCATCCAACATGGGCAGCACATTCCCATGCAGTGTGGGAAACGTGCATTTCTCACGCCATATATGATGTGAACCAGCCCATACAACCAGTGACTAGTGGGGAGGAGAGTGGGCAGCAGTTGCACACAAGCGGCCTGCTACACAGTGTTCAGTGACAGGCACCCTGGCAGGGTGCCTGACAGGCACTTAGATTTGGTCTTCATTACCTCCAGTTTTGTGGAGATAATTATTTTTGAATTTGTTGCAGTAAAAGTGGCACTATTAGGAACTAGCACAATCAGCTGCACACGTTGGTAAAGCTACCAAAACAGGCAGTGGGGAATTTTAAATCTAGCAGACCATTTTAAAAGGGCAATACCATCAGAAAATTGTTGTTAAAGCGGTAGTAAAACTGGCTTCTTTAAAAACCCCGACAGGCAGGGTCTTTATAACAGAAGAGACCCTAGAGGTCTCTTCTGTCATATATGACCCCCCTGACAGTCATAATGCGATCTGAGCCATGCATGCTCGCTCTGTGTGCCGCAGTGAAGTGACTCCCATAAGCATGCATGATGTCACCGCAGCCCAGCCATTCAAGCGGCCAAAGATTTGGAACTGGGATGAAGGCCAGGTTAACATAAAAGTGCTGTGGACCAGATAGAGCCGTGACAGCCCAGTGCTGGACGGCTCCATCCGTAGGCAAGTCTGTCATAATGTACTAGTTCATTATGACTTAAACCTGCAGGGAAGCACTTTTTCAACTTTTATGGAGACTTTACGGCTTTAATGAATTCCCCACAGTGTTACAAATCCTTTTATGCTTCTCTTTTCTGTGAACACACACAAACACTAAAGAGTGCCATTTAAAAGCACAGAGCTGGTTTTGTGATGGCAGAATTCTCGGCTCTATAAGGAATGTTGCACTGCGGAGTGTGGAGAAAGTTCCAGTTGTATGCAAGTTTTTCAGACTATATCTGGTGGAGGAAATAAAGTGTGAGCCCCATTATTATCCCGTGCATTCTTCCAGAGTCACAGTGATTAGGATAAACCAATGAAACAAGACCATGCCCAATGCCTAACAATTTCCTGTCTTTCATGGGATCTTTTGTAGATTCACTCAATCTCATCACATGCATAATGTTACAGAAATATGCTGGGCATACTTGCACATCAAACGGAAAGCTAACCACACCAACAAGCTTCTTCTGCTTTAAAGCTGAACTCCAGAAATTACACAAAATCTACATCTGCCCCATTCCAGACTGCAGGGGTTAAATGCTTGTTAAGTCTAAGGGTGCAGGGATTGGGCGTAATACCCAAATGTCTGGCTCTGGAAGGCTTCCTCTATCCATGTGTTCGGTCCAATGCATTGTCCACTCTAAGGCAGCTGATACACTCATTCAACCAGCAGGTGTAATAAAAAAAACGGACCCAATTCCCCCATCCACACACTCAATGTGGATGGAGGAATCTTCCCCGTTGGGCTATTGTATTCTGATGGCAGGGAGTCTTCTCCACCTTCAGAATACACTG